TTTGGATACAAGGAAGCTTCAGTTCAGGGGGATTAATTTACCCCAAACAAATCCAATGGAGACTTTGTGGAGGCTCCTTCAACTGCATCATGTTGTCCCCTCCAGTTAAAGATTTGTTTTTTCACCAGCTGCTGTCTGCAATGACCCTCCTGACCCTGTTCTTGATTAAAGTGTGTTTTGAGATCTCTTCTATGGGTTTTCCACCATGGATTCGTCTCACGATGCCTTCGGATCTACCAAACACTCCCTACATCTGCCACCAATCAGACCCAGATTTATCGCCTTTATTCATTGAACCAAAAGGGAGTAACATAATAAACCATTTGTTTCTGTGACTTCACTCTTTTTAAGTTCAGCAGTCCTTTGGTTTCTGTTGAGATACTTGGGGTGTTATAGTCCAACATCACCTTTTCAATGGGGCTAAGTTGTGCCATTTTTGCTGATTGTGCCTCAGTTGGAAGTGAAGCTTCAACTCTAATTAACAAGCAAAAAACGGATGTAGGGCCCAGCAGTCTTCAACGATGCTTCTGATGCTTTGAATGATGACTACGGTTCTCTGATCTCAAAACTCTGATAGAAAGTAGCAAATGTCATGTTTTCTATTACTCGTTTGTTGTTCCTTGAAGGAAAGGTGAGACTTAAGTGAAACTTAAAGGTGGAAGAAGAATTAAATCTTCTCCTAGTTTAGAGATACATTTTGAGATTAGCTTGAATTACTAGAAAGTTAAAAGTTACACCATTAAAGCTGGAGTGTTACAATACAAATGGGATCGCATTTTCTAATAATAAAATATTACTAAATTACAGGTGTTATTTTATAATAATCAGTGTTGTATTATTACAATAGTAATATAGGTGTTAATATTACTAATTTATGGGAGTATTACTAATTTATTGGTGTATTTTATAATAATTATTATTACTAATGATATAAACAAAGCTTGATATGATGGGCTTTTAAAAAATTACTCCCAGCTGGGCACAGTGGCTCATGTCTGTAATCCTAGTACTTTGGGAGGCCAAGACAGGTGGAAAATCTGAGGTCAGAAGTTCAAGACCAGCCCAGCCAACATGGTGAAACACCATCTCTACTAAAAAAATTACAAAAATTAGCCAGATATAATGGCACATGCCTGTAATCTCAGCTACTTTGGAGGCTGAGGCGGAAGAATTGCTGAAACCCAAGAGGCAGAGATTGCAGTGAACCGAGATCGTGCCACTGCAATCTAGCTTGGGTGACAAAACGAGACTGTCTCCAAAAAAAAAAAAAAAAAGGAAAAACATTACTCCCTCCTGAGTACATTGGCATCTCAAGTGTTTTTAAACAGTTGCCAACATTTTAATACATATTCTAATCACATGATTGACTGTCAATTTGTTCCTTGTGTGAAAAAATGTTTACTTAAGCTGAGTGTTATCTTCACTTTAGATAGTTTTAACAAGAAAAAAATTTCTAAAAATCTTGGCGAGAATGTGGGCTCCTTGCCTTATGTAAGCTGGCTCACATCCCACTGCCTGTGGGGAGAGCAGAAAAAGGAAGGGAGAAAAATGGGGGTGCTAAACCCCTGCCCACGATTCCAAATGGAAAGAGGGAGGAATCCATTAAGCTTATAAGTCAGTGAAAGAAATGAATGGCCATCAGCATTCTAAGGGCACAATTTTTGCCCTTCCGGCTACCATGCCTCTGATGACTTGCTCATCTTTAATCCTCAACGGCCCTTCAAGAAAGAGTTGCAGTTTATCCTGATGAGCAGGAACTGGGGTACAGCCATGCAGCCATGCAGCCTTCATAGTCAAGAAGAGACTCAGGACCTGGCTACCTTTTGGAATTTTATTTCTGACTTTGACATTAATATGTTCCTGGGACATGGAAACCTAGCAGGATATACTGTTAGGTATATACAAGATTCTGTAAGACCCAGGGAACCACAAGGAACATGTTTTATGAATTTATTTGAATGACAAATCTCTCGGCTTCCTCCTTCCTGGAGAGGATGTCCTGGCACTAGCAGGGATCTTCGCCAGAGGCATTTGTTGTTGCTGTTATTGGTTTTAAGTTTGAGTTTATTGCTTCCTCTTCATATTTTATTAAATTTTATCCTAAATTGTGTTTTCAGTGTTCTTCCCTTTTCTTTTATCTTAGAGGAAAAGGAATATTGGAAGTTGAGGGCTTTGAAGAAGAACTGGAAAGTAAGTGTTGACTTTCTTGTTCAATCTCCCTGACCCTGTAATTTTCACTGGCAAAGAGGAGAAGAACATTCCAGGGAGAGCGAACTATAGAATCAAAGAACTAAGGTGCATGACATGGAAAAAATGGTGGAAATAAAGCTCAAAAAGCTTGTTTGGTGACAAATTGTGAAGACTCTGGGATGCCATAATAGGTGGAGTTTGGACTTTGTTCCATGGGCAACAGGGAACCCCGAAGGCTTCAGGAGACAAGAGACATGGTCATATTTATTTGTTAAGTAAATGACTTTGGTATTCATGTAGAGGATGGATTGGGAAGGAGTCCAGAATACCAGTTAGAAGGCTATTTAAATAGTTTAGGGAGATGATGGTCCAAATTAAGGCAGTTTTGGTATAAATGAGTCATACTGGAAAAAATGTCAGAGAAGGTATTCACGAGACTTAGTCATATAAAGGGCAGAAAGTTAACTTGGGGGAGAAATTATGTGAATCATTGTGAGCCTGAGATTAAAAGGGTACCATTAATTTAAAAATAAGCATTCTTGGAGGAGATATTATATTTAGTAGAGTTTGTGATAAATCTGTTGAATTTGAAGTGTTCCTGTGACATGTAAATGACAGAGTCCAGAGAGCTAGAATTTTGGGGTTAGAGCTCAGAAAAAAAGATTGGGACTAAAGATAAATATTTGGAAGTGTTCAGCATAGTCAAGATAGGTGAAATTCCAGAAGTGGATAAGGTTGCCTATAGGGAGAGAGTATAGCATTAAAAAGAGACAGCTGGGGACAGAAACTTGTAGTTGAGGAGTTGCCAGAAAAGAGGCTGAGAAAGCCGTCCGAGATAGAAGGACCATGCTGCAGAAGCCAACCAAGGAAGTAACAATCGTTCAGAAAGACCATTAAAAGGAAACATTAAGTTTCGGTTATAAAGAAGTCACCAGGTGCCTTCTGAAAAGGCATTTTCCAAGGAATGAGAAACAGAAATGAAATCCTAGTGGTTGGGGATTGGGTAGGAGACAAAGAAGTGTAAGTGAGGCACAAAAACTGCTCTTGAGAAAGATTTGGTAGTGAAGGAAAGAGAAGAAATGTGACTTGAAAGGAAGACATTTCTATTGGTCTAGGTCATTGGTTTGCAAAGCACTTTTACATTTATTGGGTCACTTTATTCCCAAGGAAACTCTGGAAGGTAGGAAGAGCAAACATTTACACACCTGGGAACAAACTGAGGTTAAAAGTTTCGCCCAAAGTCAATTACAGCAAATAAGGGGAAGAATTGGGTTTAGAATTCAGGTCATTTGACTCTTATTCCAATGATATTTCTACTGTGCCCAAACAGAACATTTAAATGTTTACTCTATTTGGATATTGGATACCAGACAGCATCGAGCTCCTTGTTAAAGGCTTTGACCTCATCCACGGTACAATGGCAAGCTGCTGGAAGATTTTATGCCAGGGAATGCTATGTTTCACTTAATGCCTGATGGAAACAAATCTGGCAGTGAGGTGTGGGATGTGTTAGCACAACAGACACCTGGTAGTGGGGAGGGCTTAGAAAATGAGGACAATTAGCTTCAAACTGGAACACAACTTTTGATATGTATTCAATCACATGCTGAGAAAGTGATTTCCCTTCAGTTCTCCAGACCCTATTCTGTTTAGGAGAAGGTCTCAGTTTGCCAGTATTTCTTTTTTTTTTTGAGACGGAGTCTCACACTGTCACCTGGGCTGGAGTGCAATGGCGCAATCTCGGCTCACTGCAACCTCCGCCTCCTGGGTTCACACGATTCTCCTGCCTCAGCCTCCCAAGTAACTGGGATTACAGGTGCACACCAGCACACTTGGCTAATTTTTTGTATTTTTAGTTGAGATGGGGTTTCATTATGTTGGTCAGACTGGTCTCAAACTCCTGACCTCGTGATCTGCCCACTGCAGCCTCCCAAAGTGCTGGGATTACAGGCGTGAGCCACCACGCCCAGCTGCCAGTATATTTTTAACACACTTCAAATAGTCTCTCTCTCTCTTTTTTTCTTTTTTTTTCAAGACAGAGCCTTGCTCTGCCACCTAGGCTAGAGGGCGATGGCACGATCTCCGCTCACTGCAAGCTCCACCTCCTGGGTTCAGGTGATTCTCCTGCCTCAGCCTCCCGAATAGCTGGGATTATTGGCATGTTCCACCATGCCCAGCTAATTTTTGTATTTTTAGTGGAGACAGGGTTTCTCTATGTTGGGCAGGCTGGTCTTCCTGACCTCAGGTGATCCATCTGCCTCAACCTTCCAAAGTGCTGGGATTACAGGCATGAGCCACCTTGCCTGGCATTTCAAATACTCTCTCCTAACCCTTTTGAACAAAGAAAGAACAGGACTCAGGCTGAGAACATTTGCAAAAACTGCATCTCGCTAAAACTGAATTACATTGTTTTCTGTTCACTCTGTTTTTATGGTTACTTTCTACTTGTGACAAGTAGTATTGATTTATCATTTATTGTAATTATAGAAAGTTTACTATACATCTAAGTAAAAAAGTCAAATTAAGGAAAAATACACCTAAGACAAGTAGTACGCCTCTATGGAGAAAATATATGTGTGTATCCTAATGACTACAGTTTGGGAAATTATGGTTTTGGAGAGCATTGCAACAGGAGTAATAGGGTTCAGACCAGAGTGGGATGTTAGCAGTAGGTAAGGACAAGAAAAGAAGGCTCTGATAGATGTTTTAAAGGAGTTAAAGGAGCAGGAGACTGTGGTTTCTTGTGGGGTATTTTCTGCAGCATTTCTCAGGATGCTTTTGGCTGTAATAGTGAAAAATTTAAAAAGTCATATGCAGTCCAGTGGATTTATTACCTCATATATCAAGCAGTGTTGAGGTTGGGTGGGTCCAGGAATGATTGAATGGTTCATTGACATCACTAAGCATTTGGCTTCCAACCCGCCTTCCAACCTCAGCAAAAAGGGTTTTTCTCATGACTTCAAGATGACTGACATGGTACCAGGAATCTCATCATGGACATATGGTGTTTTCGGTGCAAGAAGAAGACATTTCTCCTTGAGCTGAAGAGTGAGGTGTGAAGAAAACTTTCCCTGAAGCCACCTTCACCAAAATACTTTTCTTCAAAATTCATTGGATAAAAATCATCACATATTCATGCATAGACCAATCACTGCAAAGAGGAATCAAATTACGATACCTAACATAAACTAATTAGGATTTATTCTTTGAGCTAGGGAGATCTTTTCTCTGAATAGTGGAGTTCTTAAAATAATACCGGCTCTGCTACTAAATATGGCTGGTAGGCAGTCAACCATGTCTTTCACAGCTCCTATGGAGAGCTGCAGGTTTTCTCCGGATACCAGTGGTTCTGAAATTCTTCAAATTCACCCTTGAACATAAGTGGCACATTCTTCAGACTTGCGGTTTTCTTTATTTCTGAAAATGTTACTTAGCTCTTCTTTCCATGTGCTGGGTCAAGGCAGAACGAAATACTTCTACTGCAAAATCAGCTTCTAGTTTAGTGATGCACATTGGGGGTGCAATGCGGAATGTCTGAGAAGACACAGGAAAATGGAAAAACAAATCATCAGAGAATCAAACATGACTTCGAGGAAATGCACTAAACTAAAAATCTAAAACCTAGTGTTTAGGACGTTTCTCTTACTTCTCTTGGTTTGAATCCTCCTCTGTCCCCAGTGCAGGATCCAGGCCATTCGCCCTCCAGTCTCCATACAAACCCTTGTACAATCTGGCTCTGCCCCCTTTTTTGTTTGTCATATATTTACCTCCTGGTCTTTCCACACCTTCACTGAGGTCTTAGGCCCCTCTCTATACACCGATTCTTCCCAGGGTGACTTCCATGTCCGTATGTGTAACCCAGCAAACACGCTTCTCACTGCCTTATTGCCACAACTCCCAGAATCTTTATGTCCGCCCCTCTGCATCCATTCACACCCATGGCCAACGCCATGAGCCTCCTCTTCACCAGGAGTAAGTCAGTGTCTGATTCCCACCTCAGCTTTCCTTTTCATGAAAACTTCAGAATCCTAACTCATCTGTTGTCTTCAGGTTTATTGCCCCACTCAGGTCTCCTCTTTCCTTTCCACCCAGCTCGGAGCACAGTGTTGGCCGAACTGGGCTTGCACGTGCCCTTCTTTTTGCTTGCATTTCCACCCTTATTCTGCTGCACTTATACAGCCAGTCCCAGCCCTAATACATGATTTTATTGAATGACTTTTCTCCAATCTAGATGGCTGAGACGTGTTAGAGAAAAATCACACAGCTAGGCTGAGCGACACCGCTAGATATTCAGGGTCTCCAACTTCTGTGGGTCCTCCCAACTCTTCTTGTCCACTGTCAGCATCCTTTCTTAATCAAAACCATTATCATTCCTCTCAATTTTCTTACTCAACTTCTGCGCCTCTTCCTGTATTTCATAGACAATCATCCCTCATACTTCTCAGAGAATTGAAGCTGTCAGGCAAGGTAAACTTGTTTGCTCCCACATCCATTTTTATAACTTTTCCTAAAGGCTCAGAGAACAAGATGCCTTTACTGTTCAACTCTAAATTGTCCGCCTATGCCCTTGGCCCTAGATTCTCCCATCACCTTCACTCCAGGAAACATCCCTTTGTCCTCTTGCATCCTCAACTTCCCCTTAGCCTATAAACAAGCAGGCTTAAAGCTCTCATAACCCCAATCTAGACCACACCAAATACAAAGCTGTGTTGATCCCCTTGTCCCCTATAGCTATCTCACAAATGCTTTCTTCCTGCTTTTAGCCATACCATTAAAAAGACTTGTTTGTGCTTATTGGCCATTATTTATTACCTTGCCCTTCCCCCATTCACATCTCAATCAGCTGCAGTCTGGTTTCTGCCCTGTCAATCTTCCGCCACCATTCCACTAAAGTTACCTGCAGGTGTGGAACCCACAGGGCCTCTTCCAGCCCTCATCCTCCCTGGTCTTTTCTGCACTTGGCTCTTTGGAATTCCCACCCCACTTCCTGAATCTCTCCCTTCTCTTTCTTCCATGAGGTCACACTCTTCTTACTCTTCTAATACCTGTCCACCCTTTCAGCCTCTACCTGGGCAGCTTTTTCCTTCTCTTGCCCTTGATTATTTTTATTTTTTGAGATGGAGTCTCACTCTGCTGCCCAGGCTGGAGTGCAGTGGCATAATCTTGGCTCACTGTAGCCTCCACACCCTGGGTTCAAGCGTTTCTTCTGCCTCAGCCTCCTGAGTAGCTGGGATTATAGGCGTGTGCCACCACACCTGGCTAATTTTTTATATTTTTGGTAGAGACAGGGTTTCACCATGTTGGCCAGGCTGGTCTTATACTCCTGACCTCAAGTGATCTGCCCACCTTGGCCTCCCAAAGTGCTGAGATTACAGGTGTGAGTCACCACATCCAGCCTCTCCTGCTCTTTAAATGTCGGTGTTGTGCAGGTTTCTATCTTCATTTCACTGAGCTTCTCATCTGGACATCAGACTTCCTGGGAGATTTCCTCATCTCACCACGTAAATGCTGATGACCCACAGATCATGACCTTTAGTCATTGCCTTTGAACTACAGATTTTTACAGATGATTCCTGACAGGAGTTTTTTTACTTTACAATGACGGGAAAGTGATATATGTTAGTAGAAATTGTACGTCAAGTATCTATACAACCCTTCTGTTTTTCACATTCAGTACAGTACTCAATAAATTACATGAGATACTCAACACCCTATTATAAAATAGGCTTTGTTCGATGATTTTGCTCAGCTGTAGCTAATGCAAGTGTTCTGAGCACATTTGCGGTTCGCTGGCTAAGCTATGATGTGTGGTTGATTAGGTGTATTAAATGCATTTTTGACTTAAAATATTCTCAATTTAGGAGGGGTTTATCAGGATGTAATCCCACTGTAAGTCAAGAAGCATCTGTAGATTGAGCGAGATGTTCATGAACACCTTGAATGGAGGATGCTTGAAGCTGGACTCATTCTTGCCCACCCCAAATCAACATGAGAGCTTCTTCCTTGACTCTCTCTTGTTCTTCATATCCACATTCTGTGCATTTTCCGGGATTATCCTCAGAATGTCTCTTCTATCTCTACTACCATGGCTCAAGTTCAAACACCATCCTTGGCTCCCAGAGGGACCCCCCTGCCTCTAGTCTTGTCCCTTAGATTTGCCCTCCTCAGAGGACAGATTCTGAAATCACACTGCCTGAGTTTGGATCCTGGTTCTGTCGTTACTTAATGTCTCTGTGTGTCTTTTCCTTTATCTGTAAAATAAGGATAATAATAGTACTTATTTCACAGGCTTGTTGGGAGCATTAAATGAGTCAGTTCATGCTAAGTGTTAGGACAGTGACTGATAAGCAGGAAGGACTTCATATCAGCTCCGCTGACCACCTCAAGCCTTTGTGCCAGCCACATCTGTGTGGCATGAAGTGGTGTGCAAAATTAGTTCTTTGTACTTGGCCATGTTTCATGCACACTTTGCTTGTTTACCTCATTATTTAAGATTCCACTAGCCAGAAAGCCTGGCCTAGAAGTCCCTCTCTCTCCTCCTTGAATACCTTTTTAAAAATATTTATAGATGAGCTTACTACATTGCATTGTAATTTTCTATATTATTGGCCTTTCTCTCCCACTGGCTCCACGAAGGAAGGACTAGATCTTATTTATCATTGTATTGGGTTGATGCAAAAGTAACTGCAGTTTTTGCAATTAAAAAAAAAAATCAGAACTGTAATTACATTTGCACCAACCTAATAGTTTCAGTTCCCAGAATAACAACTGTTCCTTAGCACATAACAAATTCTGCCAAATAACAAAGCAAGTACACAAGTATCTTATGCCTTTATAAACTGCATGTCTTAGGATTCATAATCATTAAATTATGCTATCTGATTTGTACAGAAAAATATTTATGATCAGGACTAGAAAAAAACTCACAGAGCACATCCCAACAGAAGTGCTCATTGGTTTTGTTGTTTGGGCTGGGAGAACTTTAAGTCTGTTTTGTTTAAAGGGGAAGTTGGGGAAAAGTTGAAGATGCCAGAAAACATGGGGATGTTTCCTTGAGTGAAGGTGGAGGGAGCTTGGAGAAACAAGCACACAGATGGAAGATCTAAATTTGCACAGGAGAAATACCTCATTCCTGGAACTTTCAGGGAAGGAGGTGCTGTGATCTGGACATTTGTGCCTCTACCCCTTGAATTCATATGTTGGGGGACTTTGGGAAGTGATTAGATCATGAGGGCTGTAGGAAATAAGAATTAATAAAAGGTTCCTCTTCAAAGCTTTCCTTTTAGTTCATTACGAATAAATAATAGTTTCTTCAAAGGTTAATTTGCTTTAAGGCTTTTGCTAATGATCTTAAAGTAGCTGTTAGTTATAATGAAGAAATAAGTGTATTTCTTAGTTCCTACACTTCGACCTAGATATTTGCCCTGACATGTCTGGACAAGCCCAGCTGAGTCTCAGGTCAAAGCTTATTCCTATTCCTTGGAAGTAGTTTTGCCTCTCCAAGCATTCGGGTTACTTCCTCTTTTCCTTTGTTTTCCTCTGGTTTTACCTCTTGAGGAAAGTTTTAAGTTGTTAGCCACCAGAGTGCAGCATAGGCTGTGAAGTCCCGTTTCAGCCAATGGAATGAGGACACAGTAGGAGGGTGGAACATTAGATATATGGCCCTGCCTTCTTTATTCCATGCCCTCTCATGGTAAGATGGCTAACCAGAGCACCCTTTCTGCAGAAAGTAAATTTGCCTTGCTGAGAAATTTAAATTTATATTTGAGTGCTACTTCTTTTGTGGCACCAAAAATTTACATAAAAATTTACATAAAACAAGGGCAGAGACCATGTGGAGATTAGTGAAGGCCCAGGGAGCTCTCTTGCCTCTTCTGCTATGTGAGGAGACAGCAGAAAGACGGCCACCTAGAAAGAGAGCCCTCACCACACACTGAACTTGCTGACACCTTGATCTTGGACTTCTCTGCCTCCAGAACTATGAGAAATGAATTTCTGTGGTGTATAAACCATCCAGTCTATGGCATTTGGTGATAGCAGGCTGGGTGGACTAACACAGGTGGTAAAAATAGATGTGGGGATGAGTGGTTTTGCCTCATCCCCACATGGAGGTTTTGCCTGATAGTTTATATGGAGGTTTTGCCTGATAGTTTCAATTTTCTCTGAGAAGTATGAGGCAAGAAGATATTTCAGTATCCACTGAAATTGTGAGAAGCAGGAATGGAGCAGGGAAACTGGGAAGGATGAGGGGTGTTTAAAATGGGAAAAAAAGTTGGCAAAGGATAGGAGAAATTAGGGATCTAATTTCTCCAAAGGTATCTTCCCTCTTAAGTCTCTGCCCTGGAGCTCATCCCTGGGGAGGGACCAGTTGCTGTGAAGGACTGAGGGGCAGCCCACTTCACTCACAGCAGCAGCAGCAGCCCTGGGGCAGTGCAGGGTGAGTCCAGGGAGCTGGGCGTGGCTTTTCAAGGAAGGGAATGGGAGGGCTTGACTTCTGAATCTCCCAGCCTAAGGGTGAAGGACACTGGCTGTGGCTGATTTCAAGTTTGGCAACGGGGGGCTATGCCCATGTGGTCCTCCATCTTTCCGACAGGCGTCACTCAGGGCTGCCAGTGAGGCCACTAAGTCTTATCAGGGTCACCAAGTCAGAGCCCAGGGCAGAGCTAAGAACAGCAGGAATTTCTTTCACAGGGGCTAGAATTAATTATACAGGAGACAAATTATTGATTGCATAACTGCGATCTTTCTTATCACCCATACCGTAAACTGTCTGCCTTGGCTATCCTGCGTCTGCCTCTATCTTTACCCCACAGAGCCGCGGCAACGACCAAACCATTTTCACTCAGCGCCTCCTAGTGGCCTGAGGCTGCAGTGCCCCACCCCCACTTTTTTTTTTTTTTTTTTTTTTTTTGCTACCCTGAGCTTCATCCCTAGATAACGTGTGGCTGGGTCCCCCAGCACAGTTGTGAAGAAACTCCAACCAGCATTAGGACAACAGGGAGACTCCTACCTAGGGTGCTAAAGAGCAGCATTTTTCTTACCTGAGCAAAAATGCCACCTTTGCCAACGAGGAGCCCCATGTTTTTGCAGTCCTCATGGATCTGATTTACTTCTTCACGGGGAAGAGGCTGACGGCTTGTCTGTAAATATATTTTTAAAATGCTTGTTATTTTGTGTTTGAATGGTTAAAGAAATTATTTTTTGAAGAGGAAAAAAGAAATACCCTCCAGTCATCGATGCCCTTCTTTTCTCTCTCTCTCCTTCTTTCTCTCTCTCCTCTCCTTCCCCTGTAATTAAATAAAGCTGCTAATTGCTGAACCAGATTTTTGGAGAATGTTATTAAAAATGTCTGTTTTTGGCCGGGCGCGGTGGCTCACGCCTGTAATCCCAGCACTTTGGAAGGCCGAGGCGGGTGGATCACGAGGTCATCAAGAGATCGAGACCATCCTGGTCAACATGGTGAAACCCCGTCTCTACTAAAAATACAAAAAACTAGCTGGGCATGGTGGCGCGTGCCTGTAGTCCTGGCTACTCAGGAGGCTGAGGCAGGAGAACTGCCTGAACCCAGGAGGCGGAGGTTGCGGTGAGCCGAGATCGCGCCATTGCACTCCAGCCTGGGGAAAAAAAAGGAAAACCCCCCCCCAAAAAAAAAAAAAAAAAAAAAAAAAGTCTGTTTTTAATCCCAATTTATCCCAAATTCCCAAAAGACAAAATGAAGTTCCGTGGGGATAGCCAGTGAATCTTAGCTTTGGTAACGGCTACCTTGGGGATCTGACTCCTTAACAGCTAAATTTGGAGTCTGTTTTATGTGGAAATTCTCCTTAACTCTTCACTTTGTTCTCCCCATGGAAAGGGCTTGTTTCAAAGTCCAGGAAATGGCTCAGAAGTCGCACAAAGGCACCAACAGCCTGAGCTTTTCCTGGGCAGCGCTGGAGGGGAGGGAGACAGCTGAGGAGGAGCTGGCTTGTCCTCATTTTCCCTGCTCGTGGGACTTGCTCTTTCTCCCCCAAGATTGCATCCTCCAGGGTTAAGGAAAGGTAAATGCTCCAGGAGCTGAGAGGCTGTGTCAGATCCCCAGGCACCAGAAACAGGTCCCCTCCCTGTGGAGTTAGACATTGGGCTGACTTGCAGCCTTTCTATACATCTCCTGTCTTCTGCGCCCGGGAGTATAAACCTCTCTCTGACTTAGTCATGTCATGCCTGACAGCGTGTCGGCATTACCTGGAAGACTTTCAAACGACAGGTATTTGGGTCTCACGCTAGGCCAATCGTATTAGAATATCTGAAGCAGAGTTTAAGCATCTGCATTTTTTTTTAAACTTGAGACAGAGCCTCATGCTGTCGCCCAGGCTGGAGTGCAATGGCGCGATCTCGGCTCACTGCAACCTCCACCTCCCTGGTTCAAGCGATTCTCCTGCCTCAGCCTCTGGAGTAGCTGGGATTACAGGCGCTGGCCACCACGCCCAGCTAATTTTTGTATTTTTAGTAGAGACGGGGTTTCACCACGTTGGTCGGTTGATCTCGACTTCTGACCTCTTGATCCGCCTGCCTCAGCCTCCCAAAGTGCTGGGATTACAGGAGTGAGTCAGCGCGTCCGCTGCATTTTTAAAATGGTCGTCAGGTGCCTGGGCTAAGCGCATCTCTAATTTTTCCCACGATGAGCGCTGAGACCTGTCGCTGCTACTGGTCTCCTGTTTCTCCATAGGCCAGCCCCATTGAGCTTCTGCACCAGGCTGGCCCTCCGGTTTTAGATGCATAAGACCTGAGCCTTGCTCTGGGGCAGCCCTTGCGACCGACCCTTGTGAGGTAGGCGGGGCCCCTCCAGGGTGCCCAGCTTCATTACCTCCTCCGCACTTCCCACCCACCCTCCCTCTGGGGCTTTGGCATCCACTTCCTTCTTCCACCAACCCCAGATCCAGCTCCTTCCCCAGTCCTCCATTTCTTGTAAGATGTCACTGGCTGAGAACAGAGTAAGTCTGGGCCTCCTTGAGAGATATGCGCATTTTGGTCTGTCTGAAAGCCTTAAGATAAGCAAAATACATGTTCAAATTTTCAGACTATTAGATCAGAAAGGACCTGAGGGAGAAGGAAAGACTAGAATCTTCTCACTGAACCCAAAATGCTATCTTGCATTCTTGCTTATGATTGATTGGAAAGGGACGATGAAAATGATTTAGGGCTAAACTGTGAGAACTAGAAGGACATTAAATATGATTTGAGACGCCAGAGGCCAGAGGGACCCTGGAGAGTAATCCGGAGGGAAGGTTGGGTTGTGGGGGTCAGTTCTTTTGTTGTTGTTGTTGTTTGTTTTATTTTTTGGGTCAGAGTCTCACTCTGTCACCCAGGCTTCAGTGCAGTGGCACAATATTGGCTCACTGCAACCTCCGCTTCCTGGGCTCAAGTGATTCTCCTGCCTCAGCATCCTGAGTAGCTGGGATTACAGGCATTTGCCACCATATCTAGCTAATTTTTGTATTTTTAGTAGAGATAGGGTTTCATTATGTTGGCCAGGCTGGTCTTGGACTCCTGACCTCAGGTGTTCCATCTTGGCCTCCAAAGGTACTGGGATTACAGGTGTGGCCACCATGCCTGGCCCAACATGACAGTTTTGAATGGATGGAGTCTGTGTGGCTTCACCCCAATCTTGCCCTGGGCCAGCACCGTCCTGGCTCTCTTGCCCATTGTATCCCTACCTGGCCTCAACTGCTATGACTAATTGAACATCTTGTATGCCTTCCCCAGGGAAAAAAAGCAGGATCGGAAACTCTGCTGAGGGTAAAGCCACAGTGCAGCCTGCTGAGGCCCTTGTGCCCATGCCTGTGCCCCAACTGCTTGATAATGAAGTGGGCATGCTAGTAATAAACTTCTGGATGAGTGTATAATGGGGCTTCATGTTTATCTTTTTTGGTGAATCTATGTTTAAAGAATTATAAAATTAATCTTTGAAAAAAATTCAAATGTTCTGGAAGTGCATAAAGTAAAACAGAATATCTCCTCACTTCCCATCCTATTCCTAGGGACACCTCCTATTGACATATGGTGTGAACCAGATGTTTTTTCTATGCATGCAAATACATCTATATGCATGTTTAAAAAAAAGTCGTTTTATAATGTTCAGCAATTTCCTTTTGATAATTTATAGTATATCTTGAACATCTTTCCATGTCAGTATATTTGGACCTAGGGTGTGTGTGTGTGTTTTTTTTTTTTAGATGGCATTTCACTTTTGTCGTTGCCCAGCCTGATGTGCAACGGTGCCATCTTGGCTCACTGCAACCTCTACCTCCCGGGTTCAAGCGATTCTCCTACCTCAACCTCCTAAGTACCTGGGATTACAGGCATGTGCCACCATGCCCAGCTAATTTTTGTATTTTTAATGGAGACGGGGTTTCATCTGTTGGTCAGGCTGCGGCAGAAACACAGGGAAGGATTTGGGAGACATGGCAGAGAAGAGATCAATGGGTCTTGATATTAGAAACAAGGGAAGAGGAGGAGTCAGATCATTTTGTGGTATTGAGGCTGAGTAACTGGAGAATGGTACAGGGTGAGAAACAGAAACAGTGATCTTGAAAGAAATTTCTGGTTTGGGGGAAGATGCTACGTTCAATTATTGTTATGATGAGTTAGAGGTCTCTGTGGGCAACATTCCTCCCTGGTTACTTGGGAGATTAAATCCATTCACAAGCAAGCAAGGATGCAGACAAACACAAAACGTGGTGGCTCATGCCTGTAATCTCAGCACTTTGGGAGGCTGTGGTGGGCAGATCACTTGAGGTCAGGAGTTTGAGACCAGCCTGGGTAACATGGCAAAACCCCATTTCTACTAAAAATACAAAAATTAGCCAAACATGGTGATGCGTGCCTGTAATCCCAGCTACTTGGGATTGCTTGGACCCAGAAGGCAGGGTTGCAGTAAGCCAAGACCACACCACTGCACTCCAGCCTGGGTGACAGAGCAAGACTGTGTCTCAACAACAACCACCACCACCCCAGTATGTCTTTAATATCTTCACCTCAAATCTTCACCATAACCTTTTCCTGGCCCTTCTTTCTTACTTTCTTCTGTTCCTCCCCAAATAACTTCCTCCCTTCCCTGTATTTCTAAGTATTCAGTCATTGCCTTTGTGCTTTGCCTAGGATGGCAAGGATAATGTTGATTTCTTTTCCCAAAGGCTCTCCCTCATCCCTCTAGAATTCTTGATAATCTGCCAGCATTTTGTTCATACTCAACACTCTCTACTAATCTCTAAAGGGCTTTGCTGAAATCTTGCTGTTTGTGTGCACTCTCTCCCTGAGAGTAAATGAAGTTTGGCCAATGCTTCCCCCTCTATCTCCTGCTGGCCCCAGGCAGCTGCAGAGAGAGGAGCAGATGAGCACCTACCTTATCTTGCACCATTTCTATGCCTATCATGAGGCCTTTGCCTCGGACGTCTCCAACAATTTCAAACTCATCCTGCAGCTTAGCAAACTTTAGCAACATGTAGGTCCCAACTTCTTGACTGTTTTCCTGTAGATTTTCTTCTTTAATCACCTGTTGAGAGAAAGCCCCAGATGACCTTACATGACAGAAGTTCTAAGATTGACTGAGAATCGTGGAGAAGTCACTGGACATGACCCTCTTGTAACTCAACCAGAGTGCAGAACAAGACTAGTGTGACCACAAGGACTACAGAAGTCTTAGGGGAGGGGACATGCCTCTGCCCCCAACTCTCTCACCTTCAGAGGTGGCTAAGAATTTAGGAAAAAATGAAAGGTGTGTCTCACTGCAGTTGAAAATGTAGATTCTGTAATCCTGAGGCTTGTTATTGCCAGACCTTCCTGAGAACTGGGATATAGTCGTGTATAAGACCAATGCTCTGAGGAAATCAATATCACAGGTGCTTTCCCTACTGGAAGATGGTGACCTTTGCTCAGCAGCTGTCAGCCAGACATAGGCTCTCATAGCCCAGGCGTCTGGTCTGGGGCTCAAGCCTCTTTGGCTGAGCCCAGAGCCAGGGCACAGAAGATATAAAAGGATTTTCATCTAAGTTCTACTCACAGCAAACACCTGTGGTTCTTGATAAGACACATGAAATATAGTATATTTTTATTTACCTGGCAATAATTGCATGACTCCAGGCAAATCTTGTTATTTTTAAAGACCTATTTGTTCACCTAAACCTTCTCTACCTTCTAAATTGGTTGAGGTAACAAAGCATTTTTAAAAAGAAGTTGGCAATGTTGGCTCATGCTTGTAATACCAGCACTTTGGGAGACAGGTGGATCACTTGAGGTCAGGAGTTCAAGACTAGCCTGACCAACATGGTGAAACCCTATCTCTACTAAAAATACAAAAATTAGCTGGGTGTGGTGGTGTGTGCCTGTAATCCCAGCTATTCAGGAGGATGAGGCACGAGAATCTCTTGAACCCGGGAGACGGAGTGATCCAAGGTTGTGCCTCCGCACTCCAGCCTGAGTGACAGAAGAAAACTCTTAAAAAAAAAAAAAAAGGCAGTGTCTACAAAGTGAAATAAATGACACATTCATACCCATACTTTCTCATCTTATGATTTAATTGTATTTGAAGATAACTAATTAGCAAGGGCAGCATTTACTTATTTAGTTTTATTTAAAAATACTTAAATTTTTTTTGAATAGATAAATCAAGTTCATTGTCAAAAATCAGTGAGTGTAATTGCTGGTGGGACTGTAAATTAGTACAACCTCTGTGGAAAACAGTGTGAAGATTTCTCAAAGAACTAAACATTCTACCCTTTGGCCTAGCAATCCCACTTCTGGGCATCTCCCCAAAGGAAAAAAAACCATTATAGCAAAAAGACACCTGCACATGTATGTTTATTGTAGTGCAATTCACAATTGCAAAGATATGGAACCAACCTGAGAGCCCATCAATTGATGAATGGATAAAGAAAATGTGGTACACACACACACACACACACACACACACACACACACCCCATGGAATACTATTCAGCCACAAAAAGAAAATAATGTCTTTTGCAGCAAATAATAATTGTTCTCACTTACAGATGGGAGCTAAGCTATGGAAACACAATAGACATTGGAGACTCAGAAAGGCAAAAGGTAGAAGTGGGGAGAGGGATGAAAAATTACATATTGGGTACAATGTACACTACTTGGGTGATGGTGTACTAAAGTCTTAGACGTTGCCACTATACAATTCGTCCAAGTAACCAAAAACTTGTATTCCAAAAGCTATTGAAATAAATTAATAAACATATAAATATATATGTATATGTGTGTGTACATATATACATCCACATATATATATCAGCAAGTATAAAAGTGTATACACAGAATGACTCTTGCTGACCCCTTGTCCCCAGTCACCAAGTTTTCCTCCCAAGAAAAAACCACCGTCATTTACTTCTTCGACGTTCTTCCAGAAATTTGTTATAGTTCTTTAAGCAAATGATATTAGACATGTTAGCAAGAACATTAAAAAAAATCTTTTTTAGCAGATGAGATCCGAGGCTAAATCAATGGTGTAGGGTTGAACAGCTGAATTATCTTGCTGTAGCTTGGAGAACTCAGTGTATCCTTAGTTATTCAATTTATAGTAGTCAACAAAAGGAAGGAAGAAAAAATACACAAGACAAGGCCAACATGAAACTAATTACAAGGACAGCAGTTAGCATCTATAAATCACTACGCAGATAACAAAAAAATTTCAGTGCAACCAGCTGGCTAGGAAAATCCTTGTGTTTCCCATGTATGTGAGGTTTATTATATATTATGTCTTTTTCTTTCTTTCTGGTTTTTTTTTTTTTTTTGAGACAGAGTCTCGCCCTGTTGCCCAGGCTGGAGTGCAGTGGCATGGTCTCAGCTCACTGCAACCTCTGCCTTCTAGGTTCAAGCGATCTCCTGCCTCAGCCTCCTGAGTAACTGAGACTGTATTATTTCTTATCCAATACTTCAAGCACCCAAAGTAGATCTTAAAAAGGGAGAAGGCAGAATAATAAATGGAAATCTAACTGTAATGGATAAGCTCTGAATTAACTCTCCCCTTCAATAATGCAGCATGATAGGGTTCTGCTAATGCATGTGTGGTTTTGAGTCATTTGTGAAATGAGTGAGCTTAATGTGGCATCTGGAACCAACCTCAAGCACAGCAGATCCAACCGCACAGGCCAGCGGGCTTCCTCCAAAGGTGTTGAAGTGCTGCAGGCATTTCGCCAAGGATTTGGCAATCTCTAGAGGGAGAAAATAGAAGGTGTGGAAAGAGGACACATTCCTGTCTGCCATCTCTCATCATGCCATTTGGACTACAGTTACTGCGTGTTGTAAATGGCATCCTATCCAATTCATCCTTCATTCACTTGATAGTAGGTGTTAGGGACTGAATTGTATCTCCTCATTCACCTGATAGTAGGTGTGAGGGACTGAATTGTATCTCCTCAAAATTTATATGGTTGAAGCCTTAACCCTGAATATTTGGAGATAACGCCTTTAAATAGGTAATTAGGTTAAATAAGATCATGAGGGTTGGGCTCTAGCTAATCCCAATGGACTGGTTTTCTTATAAGAAGAGGAAGAGGCAACTTTCCTTTTTCCACCCCCTCTCCCTCTTCCATATACCTCCATAGTGTGGTGGAACCCTGTGTTTCATTGTAGGCATGGGAGGGTTAGTTTTCCCTACAGCAAGATCAGAAAGTGCTGGCCTTTGGATGGGGGCACAGGGGCTCATGCCTGTAATCCTAGTACTTTGGTAGGCCGACATGGGCAGGTAACCTGAGATTAGAAGTTCGAGACCAGCCTGGCCAACATGGTGAAAACCTGTTTCTACTAAAAATACAAAAATTAGCTGGGCATGGTGGTGCACATGTGTAATCCCAGCTACTTAGGAGGCTGACACAGGAAAATTGCTTGAACCTGGGAAGCAAAAGTTTCAGTGAGCCAAGATCATGCCATTGCACTCCAGCCTGGGTGACAGAGCAAAACTCTGTCACCAAACAAAAGGAGTGGGGCTGGCTTTCTTCTATCTGTTTCACAGTCAGGCAGACAGTTTCTCTCAGTCATTTGCTTGGGAAATGCATCGTGCAGTTTCCAATCCATACAGGTTCCAACACACGTGTTTTATACTATAGCCCAATGTACGAGGCCCAGAAGCAAACACAAACTGCCTATGGGTCCTACCTGGAGTGGTTACGACTGCTGCCATGGGAAAGCCATTCCCAATCCCTTTAGCCATGGTGACAATGTCAGGCAAGACATCGTGGGTTTGGAAGCCCCAGAAGTGAGAGCCCAGCCTTCCAAATCCTGTCTGCACCTGGGAAAACAAATTCAAAACCATTGGAAACCCTTCAAGAAATGCTGTTTTCTTTTCTGTTCCCTTCCCTTTCCTCCTCTTTCTCCTCCTTCTCATTATGGCCAACATCAGCCGTTATCATCAGCATCCTGGAGTATCATGGACAAAGCACTTAATCTGTGCCTGAACTGTTAGGTATCAAGAGTCATTTTCTAGCTTTGTGCAATTCTGGGTATGTTTCTTAAATCCTTGGAAGCTCTGCTAACTCATCCATCAAGTAGAAATAGGACAATATGTCACAGGCTCCGTGAGGGTCATACAAATAATATGAAAGTCATCATTATGATTAACAGTCTTTGATGAGCATCTCCTCTGTGTCAGAAAGCAGGGTAGAAAAGTAGAGAAGCTAGGTCTGCCCCAGGGTAGATGAAGCAGCCGTTACTGTCAGTCAAGTGGAGCTGGGGCACTTGCTCCAGCCAGTTAAACTGGTCACCCTCTTCCCAGCGATGCCTTCCCCTTCCTGAGAACTGTGTCATGAGGAGGACCTAGCGGAGCCAGCTAACTCAGGGTTGAACTTCTCTAATCTATAAATTGTTTGGACTAAAAGTTGACCTTAGTTTTTTTGTGCATGCTGTTTGCTCTTTCTAGAAGACCCTCTTCCTACTTCTTCATCTCACTGACTTCTGTGCTTCAAAACAAACTTTGCCATCACTTGGCTTCTGAAGGTTCTCCTGAGCCTTAGACTCCCTCTCAGGGTACTCTGGGCATGCTGCCATCAGAGACTTTCATAGAGGAATATTATCACCAGTGGACATATCCGATGGCAGGGGCTGTGTCTTCTTCCATTCTCCATCCACAACACCTAGTACAGTGCCTGATACAAAGTAGACATTTAGTAGGCACTTTTGGAATGAATGACAGGGTGGCAGAAGTGCCTGATTATATAAAGCCACACAAACATCTCCATGTACATTTCTGCCAGAGCCTTTCTGACGAAGGCTCCTTGATCTCTTCCTGGCTCTCAGTCTCCCTGTCTGTCTCTCTCCACACATATACACAATGCAGAAAGGGGGTTAGAGATGTGGGCACTTGAAGCTGATTCTAACATGCACTTAAAAGAGTGAGCTTCCAGGCCCGGCACGGTGGCTCATGCCTGTAATCTCAGCACTTTGGGAGGCTGAGGTGGATGGATTACCTGAGGTCAGGAGTTTGAGACCAGCCTGGCCAACATGATGAAATCTCGTCTCTACTAAAAATACAAAAATTAGCTGGGCATGGTGGTGAGCACCTATAATTCTAGCTATTGGGGAGGCTGAGGCAGGAGAATTGCTTGAACCTGGAGGAGGAGGTTGCAGTGAGCCGAGATCATGCCACTACCCTCTAGCCTGGGAGAAAGAGTGAGATTCCATCTCAAAAAAAAACAAAAACAAAAACCAAAAACCAAAAAAACGAAAAAGAGTGAGCTTCCTTCTCAGATTCCTTTCTCATTTTCCTATTTTCTCTAGGCTACTGCAGCAAAGACAGATTCTAGGGGTTAGAAGTAGATGATAGTGACCAACTCAGAAAAGCTTAACCCGGGAGTCAGGCAGACCTGGGCTGGTATCCTGAGTTGCCTCCTTCCTACTTATGAGCCTCTGGGCAGCTGACTGATTTTCCCAAATGAGATAATATAAAAGGAGCTCATGGAAAATCCATCCATTTTGTCTTCATGCCTATCTTTCTTTTTCACTCCATCTAAACACCATACATAAATGGCATAAATGGTGAAAAATCAGATTGCTTGGACAATGTGTAACAGTGGAAAGGGGGCCTAGCATGACTAAATCCATTTTGCTCCTAACCAGCTTGCTCTCACCCTTCCCCTGTGATGATGTCTTTTAGGTTAACTGCTTTTGTTTATCTCTGCATATAGGCTAACCTAACTATGGGAGAAATTTAGTTTATAGTTTAACTTTAAAGCAAGGATGCTTTAAAAAGAATCCCTAAGGAGATAAGAAGGGTGTACATACAAGTAACAATGTTACATTAAAAATTTATAGGCTGGGTGCCGTGGCTCATGCCTGTAATCTCAGTACTTTGGGAGGCCAAGGCGGGAGGATCACTTGAGGTCGGGAGTTCGAGACCAGCCTGACCAACATGGTGAAACCCCATCTCTACTAAAAATGCAAAAGTTAGCGAGGGGTGATGATGCATACTTGTAATCCCAGGTACTTGGGAGGCAGAGGCAGGAGAATCCCTTAGAACTAGGAGGTTGCAGTGAGCCGAGGTTTCACCATTGCACTCCATCCTGGGGTACAAGAGTGAAACTCTGTCTCAAAAAAAAAAAAATTATAACAGTATTGTGACCTGACCAAGGACAAAGACGTTTATCCTTGCTGTGGCCCAAATGTCTGTGGTCATCAGTCACCTATCGACTTCAACCTCCTTCCTCTTCCCCTTTCTCTTAACATAAAAGGAACCTACATTTGCTTAAGGTGGTTCTTTAGGACACAAGTCTGCCATCTTCTCAGTTTGCTAGCTCCCCAAAACAAAGTGGTCTTCCTTGCCCCAATACCTTATCATTTGACTTATTGACTGTCTTGCAGCAAGTGGTACAAGCTTTGGACTCAGTTACAAATGCAAGAAACCATGTTTAGTCACTAAGGAAGTATCTTAGTCACTGAAGAAGTATCAGTTTCATAGAATTTTACAGTAGTACAGAGATGAATCATTCTAAGGTCGATAAACTCAAATGTCTTTGAAGATGAGGAGCATACATTAGGGAGAGAAGCAGGCTGGGTCATAACAGCAAGCAGTGGGGGGACTAGGGGTGTGCACGCCCTGCCTAAAGCAGTCAGTTTCAAACTCAAAGTCAGTCTATTCCAATATGGGTCCAGAGGCTGCCAGTTTTCTACCTTTAATCCAGATTCCACATTTTAAAGAAAATAATGCCACTGATTGTTAATTAAGATGTGTCAGGCACTGTTCATAACACTTTGCATGTATTAATTCAGTCAACAGTTCTATAGTATGCCCCATTGCTATTATTCCCATGTATTAGTCCTTTCTCATGCTGCTGATAAAGATATACCTGAGACTGGGTAGTTTATAAAGAAAAGAAGTTTAAAGACTGGTTTAAGTCTTGTGTAAGACTGCTCCTTGACAGAACTGGCCCTCTGCACTCAGGGTTTTCCATCCTCTGTTCCTTCCCTTTCTGTCATGATTTGTGTTTCTATACCATGCTCTGTCATTTTGGAGGGGCAGCTTGATACACTGGCTAGTCATGTGGTTTTGGGAGCCTGAATCTGAGTCTTGGATCTGTTCCTACCAATGGCATAAGCTTGACAGGTTATTTAACCACCTTGGACCAAAATTCACTTATATTTAAAATGGGATGATATGATTTAGCTGTGTCCCCACCCAAATCTCATCATGATTGTAGCTCCCATAATTCCCACGTGTTGCAGGAGGGACCTGGTGGGAGATAATTGAATCATGGGGGCGGTTTCCCCCATTCTGTTCTCATGGTGATGAAGAAGTCTCATGAGAACTGATGGTTTTATCAGGGGACAGCCTTTTTGCTTGGCTCTCATTCACTCTTGTCTGCTGCCACGTAAGATGTGCCTTTCTACCCCCACCATGATTGTTAGGCCTCCCCAACCACATGGAACTGTGTCCTTTGAACTTCTTTTTCTGTATAAATTACCCAATCTTGGATATATCTTTATCAGCAGCATGTGAAAGGACTAATATGTGGGAAAAATAGCAATGGGGCATACTATAGAACTATTGATAGGTATGGACTGAATTAATACAGGCAAAATGTTATGAACAGTGCCTGACACATAGTAGGTACTCAGAAAGTTCCAGCTATCCTTATCTTTACCTAGTCATTGGGATGGTCCTTCTTAAGGATACCCTGTGTTAGACAGTTTTCAATTACATTTTTGAAAGTCACAAAACAAGACAGAAAATTCTGAAATTCATATTTTCTTTGAATTCAGCCTACCTTCTCTTTAACTAGTCTGACTGTGACAGCTTCACTATGTGCTGATTTGGAGGCCAAAGTTTATCCTTTTTAGTGATGTAGCTAATTTTAAACTGACTGGATATACTCTTCTTTTTAAAATAGCAGATTAACTTTCACCAGCCAGGACTTTGATTGATTTGCAGGCAGGTTGGAGGAGGGAGGATGGGCACAGCAGGAGCAAACTGGCCCAAGTTGCCTGTGGCATACCAGGGGCATCCAGTGTGCCTGGGCATAACAGAGACCCAGCTGCACAGGCAGAAATTACAACATTTCTGCTGATGGGGCAGTTCAGTGTCAACTGTAGGGAATTTTTATTTATTTATTTAATTTTTTTGAGCTGGAGTCTTGCTCTGTTGCGCAGCCTGGAGTGCAATGGCATGATCTTGGCTCATTGCAACCTCCGCCCCACCCCCTGCCCCCACCTGGATCAAGCATTCCCCTGCCTCAGCCTCCTGAGTAGCCAGGATTACAGGCATGCACAACCACATCCAGCTAATTTTTGTGTTTTTAGCAGAGACGGGGTTTCATTGTGTTGGCTGGGCTGGTTTCCAACTCCTGACCTCAAGTGATCCACCAGCCTCAGTCTTCCAAAGAGCTGGGATTACAGGTGTCAGCCACCATGCCCAGCTTAGCTGCAGGGAATTTTCAGTTGAGGAAATGTATTCCAGCAATGATGGCTGGACTGAAATAGGTGTGAATCATACTTACAGGTTCTCCACCTGTCCTTGGTTGGTCTAACCACCTGTTAGTCCAATCACTATAGGTCACCCAGCAGTAAGCCTGGGCTTCTGTGGCCCTCGTGATCATCCTCTGGTCTTTTAATTTCCATAGCTATTCTCAGTAGACAGAGGCCTGCTTTCTCTGATATACTCTAATATGAGGTGTAATTATAAGTAAATTAATCCCTTTTAAAAGCACACAGGCTACTGCTCACATAGTCAATGAATTTTATTTCTATTAAAGTAATGCCCTTGGAGGTAGTGTGCTTATTCCACCAACGCTGATTTAATTCAACCTATTTCACAAGTTTTTGGTAACTATTTTCAAAGGCAGTATCTGCAGGGGTGGCGCTCTTCTAATTTAGAGGCTGGATTACTATTATTATTTTAAAAACATTATTTCCAGGCAAGCTTTGTCAGAAAGGTATATGCTGCCAGGTTGATAGATACTATTTTGGCAAAAATAAAGATTAAAAACTGGGCTATTGGACTGGGCACGGTGGCTCACACCTGTAATCCCAGCACTTTGGGAGGCCAAGATGGGCAGATCACTTGAGGTCAGGAGTTCGAGATCAACCTGGCCAACATGGTGAAACCCCGTTTCTACTACAAATACAAAAATTAGCTGGGCGAGGTGGCACATGCCTGTAGTTCCAGCTACTTGGAGTCTGAGGCAGGAGGTTGCAGTGAGCCAAGATCGCAGCACTGCACTCCTGCCTGGACGGCAAAGTGAGACATTGTCTCAAGAAAACCAAACAAATAGAAACAATAACAAAAAACTTGTTATGAGATTAAATTTCCTATGTGGCTTGTCAGCCCCTGAAACAATCCCTAGAAAGGAATTAAAAAAATACATTGAGTCACAGTATAATAACATCACATAGGCCTATTAGCAACTTACTTGATAGATGTCTATTTGGATATTTAAGTTCTGTGGTACTTGCTAAACTGAACAGCGAATGTACTCGCAAACCAACCAGCCCAGTAGCAAAAGTTTTATTCGTTTGTAGGCACACTTTGGAATCCACAGAGCAGAGGCTTTCTGCCTGGAACACAGAGGAAGTTTAGGAGGTCTCTGTCTGTGCCTCGCCTGTTCCCACCACACTTAATGGCACTCTTACGTATCACTTACTTCATCGGCAATGCACACGCCTCCCCTTGCCCGCACCAGCTCAAAGGCTTCCTTTAGAAACCCCTTTGGGTACTGGACAACTCCATTCACACCCTGCAAAAGACCAGACTAAGTAGGCCTATAATAACAGCATCAGTTTTTTAAAAGTGTGTAAAAAGTTAGATCATCATCATCATTATCATGATAATAACACTACAGACTGATTAACAACACTCTGCAGAGCAGTTTCCACTATGGGTGAAAAGAAGAGTTACTGCTCTATACCATAACTTCCAGAAAAAAGATGCGAACATTTATTATTTTCTGAGATTAGAAAACAGAATAAAGGAACTTGGTGAGATTAAAGAAAGAGTTCTTCGGACAGTGTGGATGTTATTAAGCAGCTAAAAATAGCCAGGGTTTTCCCTTCTTAAGAATTTTAGGAGTTCAGTAGTTTCATCTGTTTGGTGGGAATGGAGGAGAGGGTTTTTAAAAGGTCATTTGAAAGTCAGTGTCTTCTTTTTTGCAAGGAGACCAAGAGAATGAATTGAGAGAGAAATACAGTGAGCACTTAATTCATTTGGAATTCTCTAGAATATACGAGTTAAAACTTTCTGATAATTGCAGATTTAGCTCCATTAGTGTCTAAGGTTCATATACCCACTTGAATAGGTTCTGCAAAAAATCCAGCAATTGAGTTGGCCACAGATGTACTCAGCGTATCTTTGAATTGCTCAATATACTGATCTTTAGCTTGGCAGCAGTCTGCAAAAAGCAAAAAACAAAACAAACCACAGCATTTGAAAATGTGAGCCTGATATTTAGAAGCATGGAGAAAAACAGGAAAAAAAAAATACCAGACAGGGTAAGTCAATTATGGACTTCAGAATATGGTAAACTACGGGGTGAGAATATGCATTTCTGAAAGGGGAATATTCTGTCTGAATGGCTTCTACTTTGGTTCAAGGAGGGAGATTAGGATAGCCACAAAGGCATAAACAAACCACTTCAACTCTTTCCATCTGGGAAAGAAACATCCCAATGTGTCATTGAGCTGGTATAGACAGCTCTTTCACCTAAGGACGCCCATCCTCTCAAGTGGGTGGATCTAACTCAAATGAAATTGGAGTGATTTCATCTATTTGAAAATAACTCTATTTACCTTTCATTGCCATTTAATCCGATGTGCAATTTTAAAGCTACAAAGTGTCTTTGTCTTTAGAGTTAGTAAATAAGTTTGTGGAACAATTAGAATTCAGTCTAAAGAGAAATGCTTGAGAGCCAGGTGACTTCCATCGATCGCAGCCCTTGGCACTTGGTCCTGTGCTTGTTTTTAATAGGTCTTTCTCCCATTAATCAGGAGGTTTTTGTGAACAGGGAATATGCTTTGTTCATTTCTAAAATCTTTGTGGCCAAGCAAGCTGTTTGGTACACTGTAGGTGCTCAGTAAATGTTTAATGCATTAAGAAGAAAATACTAACAAATAGTAGAAATTATGGCTGAAGTGAGACATTGAGCAATTTTGCTTGAAGGCCTTTCTTTCTTCTTTTTTCTTTATTTTTTGAAGGTCTTTCTAATGGAGAAAGCCAGTAAAGTGTCCTTGTTCAAGTGATCTATCTTCAGTTCATTAATTCTCTTTTTGGCTGCATCTTACTGCTGACAAACCCAGCTGCTGAGTTTTAAATTTCAATAATTACTTTTGTATTACCAGAAGACATACTGTTTTCAAAATTTGCTCTCTCATTCTGCACTGTGCCCTATCCCTTTTACATATTTTCAAGCTTATATTCGATTTTCTTGAAATGCATTAAACATATTCATGTTATAGTCAATCTGATAATTCTGTTAATTTGAAATCCTTGCAGATCTTTTTCTTAATAGTGGGGTTTTGTGCATTGTATGTTTAGTTTTGACAAGGAGCAGTTTATTTTCTTTGGAATTTCACTTGTGAGAATTCTTTGAGGCCCAGAATGAGGTAGATCCTTCCAGAGCCTGTTTGAGTTTGCAGCTTCCAAGCGTATGGGGCATTACCAGTCTAAGATTCCTTTGCATTATAAGCTTGAGGAAATGAGCACTCATAATGCAAAGCCTTGGAGGGCCAGCCTGCAGGTGAGAGCTTCAGTGGTGGTTCCTCCCGGTTCCTTTACTTCCATTCAGCACCAGATTCCTTGCAGGCCCTTTAACCTATGACGAGTTGTTCTTGGTGGTGTATTTAATTCTAGTTGACACATAGATAAAGATGTGGCCTATTGGGGGCACCAGATTTGTGGCAGGGGAGGGTTTTCTGTAAGATCCCTTACTTTGGCTGGGCCCTGGACTTCGTCATCTCTTCCCTGCACTCCACTGAGCCATCGACATGGAAGCTGAAGGTTACCAGGTTACACAGATGCTCTCAGGGTCAAAGCTGGCTGCAGTGTCCTAATGACCTCTTTGGGTTTCTGAGAATTCATGCTTTCTTGTATCCATGCTTTAAAGGGAATACATTTCATTTTATCCAGGATTTTTAAAAATTGTTTTCCACTGGAGAAAACCCAGGCTATCATGTTACCAGTACCAGCTGTTCATCCAGCTCAGTTGTCTTAGTAGTAACCATATTTACTTTCCCATCCCGCTTAAAAATACTACAAACGTTTCTGCCATGCTTCGTTAGCTGCAAGCCTCACCGCACAGACACACAGGCATGAATCCTATGGATGGGAGAGGACGAGAGGAGAGTGGGAAGATTGCCCAGCAGGCTTGCTTAAGCTCCAGAAACTTCCATCTGTGTGTCAAAATTGAAAGTGGAAATCACCAAGGAAGCAGGAAAGGTGGGGGGGGGGGGGGAAGAGAGAGAGAGAGAGAGAGAGAGAGAGAAATTCTTCTCTGGAATAACAAAGGTCCTAAAGCATACATGACTGAACCTTCAAAACTTTTATCCACATCTGTCATTTGGCTCTAACAGCACCATGCAGTCTCTGAACTTAAACTTATATCCATAGACGGTAGAAGGAGTGCAGAGAAAGATGTGGATGGGATGGAAAGCCCCAACCCAAGTGCCAGAGAAAGCAGTTGGGGAGAGGGGTCACCCCATACCATCCCAGTGCTTGCTTAGAGGCGTCAATGCAGCGCTGTCTCCAGGGGGCTAAACAGAAGGAACAGAAACCTCCTGCAATCACCATCGAAACCAAAGCATAAGTATATTTTATACCTCAACTCTTCAGATTAAAAGTGGGGAAATACTAGTTGGCCCCGAACATATTATTAGGTTACGTGTGATATTCGGAACCTTCGATTGACAGAGGTACCTGATATCTTTGGTTAATTGGAGGTTGGGGGTTGAGGGTATGAGAAAGGAAGTAATAAGTATATCAAACCCTCAAAGTATGTTTTTGGCATTACTGTGTTGTTTTGATGGGAAGAATATAGTAAAATAAATCTATGCCTCTAGAAACCAAAATTCCAAAATTTCCCCTTTTTACTAGGAAAGGAAGAGAAATCAGCTTCAGATGACCTTAAAAGATGGATCAGACCTATGTTCAAGAGACATGGTTTGGAAATTTAACAAGCCCATTTATACTGGAAAAATCAAAGAGTAGAGCTTACATTTGGCCAGAACTACAACAAAAGGTTTTGCTTGAACCTATGCTAGACCTTTCATGCGTTTTTCCCTCTGCCCACATGCTAAACAAGGAGATAGTCACCGACTGTGATGAGCTTTTTACTTTATTTCACACTAGCTGCATCGGCTTATTGCTGTAACTCTTGCAGAGAGGCTTGGTGCATTGGTGTCTTCATGAAACCCCAAGGGGGTGAAGAGAGAATATTCTGTTGGATACTACAACAGAATGGCAAAGGAAGAATTTATTCCAGCTGGTGGTACAGAAAGAGTTATGCGGAGTGAGAAGCCAAGAAAGAACTACAATTTTTAAGAAAAACAAAACTTGCCTTCCAAAAGAAGAAGAATGACATGATCAGTACCAGGTTTGGAACATGGTGGGGGCAGTAGGTGATGAGGAGTGAATCTCATCATGGGTTACATCTGAAACTCGGGGCCTGGAATGAACCCCTAGGAAGAAAAAAGTCCCGGGAGGTAGATGGAATAAGATAGAGAAATATACCACATAAACATCTAGATTAGACTTACAAAATGGCCCCCTGCCTATGTTGGGAGGGATGACCTATTTCTGAGATGAGAAAAATCTCTACCATGGTTAGTGCCTCAATTCCTCTTAAGGTATTCCTTTCAATATGTTAAGAGAATTGAGAACAGGCAACATCTGTAGTCAAAGAACTGTACGTTTGGATGCTTTTGTAAACATACGTGAATATTCCAGTTTTACAGCAAAGACCAAATGCTTCCCAGCTCCTAAAGGCACTGAAGGAGGCTAGGGCTCTTCTTTTATATTCCAATCTTGTTTGAAGCTTCCATAAATAGTCTTGTCCCTTGAAGACATGAATTAAGAAAACAGCTGACTTCAGATATGCCAAAGGCAACACTTCAGAGCAGAAATGTACGCCTGTCACTATCATTTAGCCTCTAGATGCCGCTAGAGAGATAACCATGGACTTCCAGTATTGTCACATTGCCTGAAGGCAGAGAAGAATGCCTTATGGTAGTCCTCTAGGAGGCTTTATAGTGGGTCTGTCTCTTGTATATATGGAAAAAAAGAGCATGTAGCAGGAAAAGAAGGAAATGACCACCTCTCGAGTGCCTCTGTCTACTAGGCTCTGTGCTGGTGGTTTTGCAGTCAGACCAAGGTCTGGGAGGTACATCAAACTGATTTTAGTCCTTGATGCCATACAGATACAATATTCAAATATGACTTTACCAGGCATTGCTATAGTCTGTCCGTCTTTCTCTACAAAAACTTTCTATGTCTTATCTCATGAAGTGCGGTGATGGTGTTGGCAGCAGCCAGATATTGCTGTCTCTGTTTTACAAATAAGAAAACTGAAGCAAAAGGTGACGCTTTTGTTCATAGCTGAACCATGATGCCGGGGCTGAGAGTGGAATCCATGTCTTGACTTCATGTACCTCCTCAGTCCTGGCCAGTGGAACAGGAATGGTTTTTCAGCTTGGGTTTATCTTGACGGTACATTGGTGTGGATGAGGATGGCTGTGGGAATTGGAAGCACTGGCTTTGGAGTCAGAAGACCTGGGGTCAGATTTTAGCCCTCCAGTCTCCTCTGTGTGAACCTTACTTTCCCTTTAAATTGGAGAGTTTGGTTTACAGCTTTACGTTTCCTTCTGGTTTTAAATTCCGTGAGCATGACATCTTGCCTTGTTCCAGTACTTATTCTTTCATTCTCCTATCTCCATTTTGCTATTATCTCATCTGAATTTTAAGATGGGGAATTTTCTTCCTTTCAGAGCTGTTTTTTAAGACTTCTGTTTTATATTTTTCCTCTCAATCCAGTGATTCATACTATTCCATTAAAAATCAATGTGCTGAAGCTTTTAGTTATTTCCTTCAGAACTACTAAGGAACTGCTATTCAAAAGGTTGCGATGACAAGTCGGAGGCAGGCTTGCTGATTAGCAAGGAACAGATGATGTTTCCTGCCTCCTCTCTCTCCTGTTAGGCATAGGTAAAGGATGCAAATAAAAATGTGATTGATAAATGGAAGCTCTCCTTGTGAGAAAGCCTTTAAAACTTTTGCCAGGCTTGTCAGCAGCCTGCAGAAAGGGTCTTGGGTTTGACAGATGCTCTCATTTTGGCTGGCAGTCCCTGGGGAACTTTTTGACTGGAGTTTTAAGATTCCCAAAACCATTCTTTTCCCTCCTTCCATTGGGACATTGGGATTGGTAAATAATCTCACCCATCTTGATTTCTTATTTTTGTTTTGTTTTGTTTTTGAGACGGAGTCTTGCTCTGTCACTCAGGCTGGAGTGCAGTGGTACTATCTCAGCAACCTCTGCCTCCCAGGTTCAAGCAATTCTTGAGCCTCAGCCTCCTGAGTAACTGGGATTACAGGTGCACACCACCATGTCTCGCTAATTTTTGTAGTTTTGGTAGAGACAGGATTTCACCGTGTTGGCCAGGCTGGTTTCGAACTCCTGACCTCAGGTGATCTGCCTGCCTCGACCTCGCAAAGCTGGGGTCATAGGCGTGAGCCACTGTGCCTGGCCAGGGTGTGTTCTTTCATGCAGGCTGGAGTGCAGTGGCATAATCATGATTCACTGCAGCCTCCACTTTCTCAGCTCAAGTGATCTTCCCACAGCCTCCCCAGTGGCTGTGACTACAGGCATGCCACCATGCCCAGCTTGTTTTCTTTTAAAATTGACACTAGAGTTATTGCTATTATAATAGGGCTAATAGAAAGCCTTGAATTAAGTACCAGGTGATAGTCATTTTTTAAAGCTTAGCTCTGATAGCGTGAGATGCTTTTCCTACATGGCCAGACAGATGGTCTGAGAGTGAAGTGATAACAGGCATAAACATTGATTCAATGAGGAGTAACTTGGTTACTTTCCAGTTTTGCTTCCTCTGGCTTTTCCTTTTTCAGTTTTTTCAAATTCAGTTGTTCCCTCAGGGACAGGTCTGCCTTTATTTGAGTCCTCCGCCACTTCCCACCCTCTGCTAGCCCCTCCCCTGCCCAGTCAGACCTGGTGCACAGCTGCACTTCCTGATTGTTTGCACTGGAGAATCTCGACAGTGGCTTCCTCCCCAAGGGCCACGAAAAACATCTGGACACATTGTCTGCAAATAACAAAAGAAGGAGTGTGGCAAAACATGAACACAAGACACCCAGTTTGGGATAGCATATGACCGCCATCAAGACAAGAGGGCATCTTAATTTTCCTCCCTCATTCTTCCCCCACTTAAGGTGAAAATGGAATGATCTGCATTGGAGAGATAATTTTTTCTTAGAATTCTGCTACATGGGCACTCTACAAAGCAAATTGATTTCAATTTTAGCCTAGAAATAATTTGCTCAAGGGTTTGGGGGTAAGGGCATCTGAAAGAATAAGAATAATTAGGTATCTGATTCTGATGCTGAAAAGGTGGGTACAGTAAGTGAGAACAGAAGGTGAGTGCAGTGATGATTGCATAGAAATTTTGTGTATTCAAGGTTCCCGGAGCCTTGCAGCATACTTGATTTTACTTAAAAGCAAAATAAATTTTAAGACCCTATATTAATTATTATTCAGACTCAGAAGGCCTTTCTAACAGTTTCCTCAAGTGGTCTCCAATTCAATTAGGTCAAATTGAGCCCCTGATTAATGACAGGCTTTATATTAGTTTCTAATCCTTATACCAGGGAAACCTGATCAACTGCTTCACACACCCAGCAGTCTTTAAAGAAACAACAGAAAAATCTCCAAACTTACTGATTGGCAACCTATTCCACCAGGGAGTTCCATCTTGTAGGTGCCTACGTTTGTCAAGCCAAGTGTGTAAGGACTGCACCCGTGGTAGGCTCCTCTGCAGAGAAGAAACAACAGGAAGATGGGGTCAAGTTCCTGGTCCACTGAGTAGGACAAAAGAGAAAATCCAGGAAGGCTGTGAAGATGAAATAGAACATCATTCACATTCACCTCTGATTTCTAAGAATGCATCTAAGCCTATGTCAGGTAAATGTTCCTAATAGTCTTTTCTAGCTGTTGTTAGAAAACATAGATTTGAAACTGTGAAAGGAATTTTGGAGACCATTTGTCCAAGAACTCCCATTTTAGGACTTGCCCTACCCTATGACTCTATAGTAACGAGACTTATCTTTTAACAACATACCAGAAATTATATGTTCAATTAATACCAGTCTTCAAAGTAGTCACCTTGGGAAGCCAAACATCATTTCCTGTGATATACCTGTTGTTCAATATCTTTAGGGACTTACACACCTTATAAACCACCTTGCTCTCCATATAAGAAACAGGTTTTTGGCTGGGCACAGTGGCTGATGCCTGTAATCCTAGCACTTTGGGAGGCCAAGGCAGGCAGATCACCTGAGGTCAGGATTTCGAGACCAGCCTGACCAACATGGAGAAACCCTGCCTCTACTAAAAATACAAAATTAGCTGGGTGTGGTGGTGCATGCCTGTAATCCCCAGCTACTTGGGAGGCTGAGGCAGGAGATTCACTTGAACCTGAGAGGTGGAGGTTGTGGTGAGCCGAGATTGCACCATTGCACTTCAGCCTGGGCAACAAGAGTAAAACTCTCTCAAAAAACAAAAAAACAAAAAAAACAACCCCCCCAAAAGAAACCCAACAAAACAGGTTTTGTTTCTTTTGAAACAAATCCTAGTCACACAGTGTCAGCTTCAAATGAGTTTTAACAATTTCCCATATCAAAGTCACCTTTAAACAAAGATTTAGGACTATTAAGACTATTCAAAAGAATTGTTACATTAGGTCAGTGCAAAAGTAATTGCGGTTTCTGCCATTACTTTTAATGGACATACATATGTCCAGGACATATTCTGGAATGTTGTTTAGGTAATGCATCAGCCACAATTCTTCATTGCCATATTTCTTTGATAGCAAATGTTTTCTTATTCCTGTAATAACTGCATGTTCATTTGATATGGAATGTGCGGCATCGAATATGCTATCATAAGGATTAAATAAAACCTTCTTTTGAATTCACACAGAAATGATGACCAGACAGGTTAAAAATGTGACTATTTCTTCATTCCACTAACTTTTATCATAAGTCACCCCTATCTTTTACATCAACCTCAAGGGAGTCTGTTTAAATGTGCTGTATACGATTACCCAAGGAGGCAACTATAAGCAAAATGCTTAATTTTCTATTATTTTTTAGTGCTAATACAGCCATGAAGGGTTTATTAGTTAATCTATTAAGTTATTAGTTTAAGAGTCCCCGAAAGAAGCAGAAATATACAGGGTTATATATGCATCCTCTGAACTTAAGGAGAATAAAAGGTGAAAAACGGGCTCAGCTAACTCTATGAAATAAGTGGATAGCTCCTTATCATAAGCAGAAGTTAAAATGTGCCTGGTGTCATTTGGTAGAGCCTTGATCTTCTAGGGTGGGGAATAGTCATTTACTGCTTGGTATATGGTGTGGTCCCTGCCACATCTTGAAAGTTAAAAAACTGTCATGTGGGTTTCTCTTTCAATCCACAGGAGGATCTGTGACATAATGAGTTCAAGCTGTTTGCTACAGTTGGGACCCCCTATCTGGTAACAGGCTAACTTGGATGGAGTTGCACAGTCATAAGATTCAATTGACTGATCCTACCTTAAAACTTACAATTAGAAAAATATCCCTGAGAAAACCTCTCTCCCACTCCATGCTGCAATTTAAAGATACACATTTAGAAGGGGGTAAGTCAATGTTACTAATGTTGATTATTCCAAGTTGTGATTACCTGAAGGAAATGATGTCTATGTTGTTTGAGTGTGCCCTGGCCATCAGCATGGCCAGATCATTGGCCTCTGAGCCACTGTTCACCAAGAAAATGACCTGGAGAAGAAAGGAAAACACGTGGCCTCATAATTTATTTCCTTATTACCTAATTTATGCAAAATTGCCGAAGGGCATGTAAGCAGCCTCTGAGTATGAAGGAGAGTTCCCTTCAGACCAGCTCGGATTACCTAGCAGTTCCATCATTAAACCACACTGTGTGAATTCTATAGCCCTTCCTGGCATAGCTGCTGAGTGCTAGACGTACAAAAATGGCTAAGAGATTGTCTCAGCTGTGGAACATTCCAGGCTTTCATTGGCTTTATTTGATGCTCTGCAAAATTCCAAGAGGGGCGACTTGCTGAGGGGCACACATTGGTGAATAGCTGATAGATCCAAATACTGTGTTTCTTGGCTCCTGACCCTAACCCACTCACCTGATTCTGAAGGGTTGGAAAAGACAGGACCCCTTACCCTGAAACTCCAGGGGTTGTTCCAGCTGGACTGTGCTTTATGTGTAAATGTTGAAAAAAAACCAAGTAAATAAGCTGGGTGTGGTGCCTCAAGCCTATAATCCTAGCATTTTGGGAGGCTAAGGTGGGCAAATCGCTTGAGATCAGGAGTTGGAGACCAGCCTGACCAATATGGTGAAACCCATCTCTACTAAAAATATGAAAATTAGCCAGGTGTGGTGGCAGGCACCTGTAATCCCAGGTACTCAGGAGGCTGAGGAAGGAGAATCGCTTGAACCACGGAGGCAGAAGCTGCAGTGAGCCAAAACTGCACCATTGCACTCTAGCCTGGGCAACAAAGTAAAACTCTGCCTCGAAAAAAAAAAAAAAAAATAAAAAAAAAAGAAAAAACAAGAAAACAAATAAAAAAACAAAAAATGCAGCTCAGCCTGGATGAAAGAATGGGGAGAATAAAAGCAAACTGTGCCGTCGAGACTCAGGGACTGGAAGTCATGTGTTTGTGACTCTGCTGACTTCTCTGCTTCTGCTCTTCCATGAACATCTGGGCTGAACTGAGGTTGCAGTTCTTCCAAGTTTCTTCATCTATTCTAGGTAATGTAGACACCATGGTAAAATAATAATAGCTAATACTGGGGTCTGAGCACTGTTCTAGATTCTTCGTATGTATTAACTCATTTAATGCCGAAATAGAAGTCTTGGCCAACATTTTAACATCTCAGTTTAGTTTAAAATATCAGTCATTTCAGACGCTGAGAAATAGTTCATGTAGAAAAACATATCTAAGTGTATTTTGGATTAAATGAACCAAATGGCATTTATTAAAAATGGTTCCACTTTTGTAAAAGAAATGCAAATAACTTTGCACAAAGGCTAAGGAGCAATGAGATAAAAACTTCTTGAGGACATAGGTGAGATCAGAAGGCCCACGGCTCCCGGGAAGTGATTTCTGCAAAGATATGGTGAGGAGAGCAACGACGCTCAGAGGTGACACAAGGGAACACTGGCTTGTTTCACCAGCAATTCATACATTCCCTTCTTTGGTCTGATTGCTTTCAGATGTAGCTATCAGATCACCACTACAGATGTTCAATGCAAAGGCTAAATTCCCTGCTCATCCTCCTGCTTCCTAAGGCAGCTCCCCCAGAATCAAAAGACTCCTGTCCCTTTGAGCTGGGAGCATCATACCTTCTTTTCTACCCATAAAATTCAGCTCCTGCGGGAAGAGCATTGTACCTTAAGAGGCTCAGGAAGAAGCGCGGCAAGCTTCTCAGCATATTCGTGTATCGGAGCGTGGAAGAACACGGCACTTGTATGCCACAGGCGGCCCAGCTGCTTTTGCGCCGCTGCGTTCACCGTCCTGGATAAGCAGTAGAGCAGAGTTACCTGCACTGTGTGCCACGTCCCTCCTGCGCACGCACTGGCCATTGGACCCAAACATACTGTTTTTTCTCAGAGTTTCAAGAGGCAGATTTTATCCACACATGAGAATAAACTCCCTTAACCACTGAAGGTGTCCAGCAATGGGATGTGTTGCTTCAAAAGGTAATGGATTCCTTACCAAGAGCAGGGTTCAAAAGGAGACTCAGTGATTACAAGAGGTTTTAGAAAAGAAATGCCTTGTTTAGGAGGAAGTTTGGGCTTAGAATTTCTTCTAACTATGCTTTCTTATTAACCATCATTTGAACAGTTTGGAAAAAGAGATGACTAGCTGTAAGCCTGAGTTCTTAATTTTTCTAAAGAAGAATAGATTCAACAAGCACATGTATGCAAGATCAATAGTTCTCCCCTCCCTCCCTTTCTCCCTTCCTTCTTTTCTTTTTTAAGGAATGGGCTCTTACTATGCTGCCTATGCTGGAGTGCAGTGGCTATTCACAGGCATAGTCATAGTGTACTGCAGCCTCCAATTCCTGGGCTTGAGGTCCTCCTGTCTCAGCCTCTTGAGTAACTGGGATTACAGGTGCATTCTATCATGTCCGGCTAAGATTAACAATTTTTCTGCAGGGAGATTCTAATATCTGAGTCTGAAAAGTGGTTAGTGTGGATAAACATTTTGTAGCTATAAAGTCACATTCTTTGAAGGATTGGGCCAACCTTACAGGATTAGAAGGTTCATACTGAGAGATAGTAGGGACTAAGGATGATAGATTTGTGAAATCTGACTTGGCTTTGAAAACAAAAGCCGAGCTGTCTGAACTTGCTGTGAAGGACATTAATGACTAAAGTTTGTTACATACCAATTTTATTTGTTGTGAATATCTTTCACATCAGAAAAAATCAATTTAGTGGGTAAATATTTTGAGAAATACCAGATCATACAGATTTCTTTACTACAGGACATTTTAGTACCTATGACAGACTAATGTACACTGTTTCTCTTCAGAAGGGAGATATAGTTTAAAGGGTTTCCCAAACCGATTTTCTCATAGGACCCTTTTCCATGGAAACTCTTACGATCAGTGATCCATGAAACTCATTTTAGAAAATTGTGAAGTATCAGTAAACTCTTGAAAAGAAGAGACACTTGACAAAAACATTGTTTACCAAAAACAGGAGGGGAAGGGAAGATGGCTTCCCATTACCAGGGGACACTGTCCATGTTGTTGGGAAGATTCAACAAGAATGTTTGAATTCATTTTCTACTCCATTTTCTCTACTTCTTTCACGTGTGTTTGTCCTATGTTTTAAATTGCATCTGAAATTTATTTTGGATACTTCCTGGGACTCTGCATGAGACTATGGCCTCCTGACGATGGAAGAGGGTAGGAGAAATCAAGGGGAGGAAAAGATGAGGGCTGGGCCCTGAGGCACACCCATGCCTTACCTCCTGACAGCTGCCTGAGGGAGGACTCTGTGCCTCTTGCTTTGACAGAAGGGCCCAGACCTAATCGGTTTATTTTACACTTGCTGCTTTATTGCTTTCCCCTAACTTAGTGTGGGTTTCATTGGTCAGATTATCAAAAGAAAGAGAACAGACATGAAATAAGAGGCCTGCATGGAGACCAAGAATGCTCCAAGGGTATTTGTGTGGGCGAGTGGACAGGCAACACTGCAATCTCTAGATTAATTGATCCATGCATTTCTGGGTACGTTTTCAGCTAGGATTGCCTCTGTCTTTTATCATTCTTCTTTTCCTCTTTCATCTCTCAGAGGCCGTGAAGAAGATCCCCAGGCTAGAAGCTATTTCTCATCTCTCATCAACCCTCGCCTGACAAGGCTGTCCCGTGCTTCTCTGACAGCCGCCTGTCTTTCCCTTCCCTTCCTTTCCCTGAATGCGCCCCTCTCTTTGGAAGGCTGTTGCTAATGAGAAACACACACGGCAAGACTCCAGTCACATGGTACGTGCCACACTACATGTGCCATGAGAGTAACAAAATCTTGCATTGTCAAGAAAAGGAAAAGTAGAGTGTCAAGGTTTTGTACTCAGGAAATAGCAGGGAGTATGTCAGCCACAATCTGTAATAGATATATTTTTTAAAACAAGATAAGCAAATCAAGAGTTCAGAGTCACAAACATAATTGTTTTCCATGCGTTCTTTTGGAAAAGAAATCCCCAGAGTTCAAGGATACTCACGGGTGGCAGTGGCCAACGCTGACAGTAACAATCCCGGAAAAGAAATCCAGGTATCTGTTTCCCTCAGCATCAAAGAGCCACTCCATGTGCCCCTGGTGGAGTAGCAGGGGTTTCTGGAAAAGTGCCGTCACCACAGGAGAAAGATGTTCCTTGTGGATTTCCAGGACACGGTTGTAGCCAAGGGACTGCAGATAAACAAGATTTAAACCCACACGCTTCTTACAAGATCAACAGCAGTCAATCTACGAGTAACAGTGTCCCGTCTCTCTAGTGGACGGAGCAGAGGGCTGCTGGCCTGTAGAGGCTCAAAAGTGGATGGGCATTCCCAATATAGTCCTCACAAGAAATTAAAGCCTTTTCTTTTAAGGAGGTGAATTATTATTTGTAGCCTTTCAATCTCTTTCTAGGTCAAATGTGGAGAAAAGGGCTGGAATTTCTACCTATCAATGAAAAGCCTTGGCTTTGAGTTGATTTTAACTATGAAAAAAATGGACTTTGGAAGTAAATGTCTGAAATAATAAGCAAGCAATTAGTCTGAACTAATAAGTCATTATTGTTGTGGTAGTTTTTTAAAACATAAAAATGCAATGAAGTGCTGGTCATGTTTGTATCTTTAATTACAGAATCTCTCTCCTATATTTGTCTTCTTTGTGTACCCTCACGAGTACCTATTGATTCTACAATTTCTAACCTGTAAGTATCATGTAGAATAAAGAAGTTGCTGTGTGTGCATGTGCTCACGCGTACGTGAGAGAGAGACAGAGAGAAAGAGAGAGAAACAAGGAAAGAGAGAGAGAGAAAATGGCAGCTCAATCTTTGTTAGCCTGAGAACAAAAATATAACTTCATAATTTTTGCTGGAGGACTCAGGAAGGTCAGATGGCCACATAAGTCAATTAAAACAGGAGCAACATTTATTTTAAAGCCAATGTATGCCATCACATTTGTGGCGTGTGTGTGTAGCTCCTGCAATACATATATTAATTACCATGTATAGACTGTTTCTTGTACCCTCTCTCTTTGCTTCTTTCTCTGTCTCTATCTTTCACACATGGACACCCAATTCATATACTAGCATTAGGGGAGTAAGAGGGTCTCAGATGCTTCCAATGACTTAGAGGGCACAATATCTGGAAGGAGATAGTTTAGTGGCAGGCAGGGCTATTTTTGTGTCATTTTAAAGGAAATAATCAATGGAGACCTCCCCAGAGAAACCACCTCTTCGGGTTTTCCTAAAGCCCTGAATCTTACCTGGTATTTTTCAGGTGTGAAGTCACATGGAGGCATTCTGGGCCTGGTATGGAGACCAAGCTTGGTTACTGACGTCCAGGAAGCACCTACTGAAAGTTAAGTGAGTTAGAATCCTCAACCAAGCAAGACATAGGTCTGTTTGTGAAAGTCACCTATAGTTATCCAAATGAAGGTGCTGAGGCCATTTTATATTTTAGTTAAAAATTATGTAAATCAGCTTTTAGTTTGGATTAAAAAGCTGAGTATCTCAATCATGAGTTTTCTGAAGAAAAAAAGAAAAGGCAGTTCTCAAATCTAGTCTGAAAAAAAATCTACTGCAGTACCTCACAAGCCTGGGAGCTCAGTTTAGGCAAACTGTCCACGTGACTCTCACCACGTTGACTCTCTTGTCGGTAGGCAAAGCTTCTGCTGGTGCACTGTGTTGTTAAAGTCCGTCCTCTGCTAATAGAGGTGCTTTTTAGGCTCCAGGCTGCCTAGTACCTGAATTCTAGTGTGTAGCCAGTGCCTGGTACCTGGTTAGCTCCCAATACAAATGGAATTAATGACTGTTGACTATTCTTGTAGAGACTGAGGAGAGACAGGTGTTAGACAATGTATTGGAGTAATAAATGCATGCAAGTAGACCCAGAAGATGAAATCTCCCTGCTCCCTCTCCTCCCACTCCCCCAAAAGGCTGCCAAGACAAAACAGGGATAAACTGCACCAGATTCATTAAATATCTGGAGCTAGAAGGGACCTTACATTTGTGTGTGTGTGTGTGTGTGTGTGTGTGTGTGTGTGTGTGTGTGAAAATGCATACTTTATAGATAAGAAAACCAGCGTAAAGTGGTAAATTAATCGGTTTAAGGTTATCAAGCTAGTTCCTGAAGAACAGGAACAAAACTCCTCTGACTCCCAGCTCAGTAGTCTGTTTTGCTCATTCCTCAGCCACTTCCACCCTTCCCTGCCAAAACAGACTTTGGCCTCTCTGCAGCAGTAGAATGGAATGATGGAATCAGAACGTCAGAGCTGGAGGAGGTGTCTAGAGACCTTGTAAGTATTCCTAGGAAAGATGCTCCTACTTTTGGAGAAGACTCAAGGTCAACATTAAGATAATTTTCAGGTGGAGAGAGCTGAGGAAATTACATCTCTTTCTCAGCATGAAGATTCAAATGCATGAAAGAAATGTTAGAGTTCTGTGTGGCTATGAAGTCACAGTCCTGAGAAACATAATGAACAATTGCATTTTTAAATGAAGATGGAAAGTAACAGCTCTGAATATTTCTTTTTTCAAAGAGATCCCATTCATTTTTCTGCTTTAAGTACACACTAATGTCATTAATTTGCTCTTACTTTAAAAGCAAGTGACTTTGGTTATCTATGCATAGAAAAGACCAAAAAATTCGATAGCTTCAGTTTTCTGAGAATTTCACCTTTTAAAAAGCTTTTCATTGTGTCTCTCTGCATTAGTTATTCTTCTGAGATGGGAAAAAAAAATTCCGAGTGTTTCTAAGAATTCAAAAATCCTTTCGTTTCTTCAGTCTCATTTTCCTACCTGCAAAATTGGAGTTGCCCATTGAGGAGGTTGTAAGCGCTTTTGACTTCAAGGTTACAGGAATTATGAAAGTAGGCTGGAGTGGAAAGGGAGTTGGAGAAAAAGACTTGATAAAGAAAAGATTGAATTTTAAACAGCCAAGGTAGTCTTATTCATTCATTTATTCACAAAAGTGTTAAGCATATGATGGTGGAGTGAGGGCTTGGCTTCAAATGAAATACATGAAATTCTGCAAGGAAGAAAGGAGAAGAAGGGGAGAGGGAGAAGAAAGAGGAAGGAAGACATAGAGACATAGTAATTAGCAAGTAGGGAAAGAATAATAGGAATCAATAAGTGAAATAAATCTGGATAATACCTCAAAATCTATTGACTGTCATATCACTCCTCTTAATAAATAACTAAAACTCAAAAATAATAGTAATAATATTGATATGGACAGAAAGAAGTAAATATGTCTTGGTTTTTATTATTTGCCAGAAAAAAATTAAAATCTAACTATTTAGATAATTGTATGCATTCTTTATTCCAAACAGCCTGTGTTTTGAGGATGACATATGAGTTGAGGGTTCATCAAGCTTTTTTGGGGCTCCTGGAAATTGTGTATGTGTATAGATATAGGTACATGCATACCTGTGTGTGTGTGTGTGTGTGTAAGACACAGATGGTGGTGGATTAATAAAACTCGAATATAGTTTTATTAATCCTAATCTCATTTATTTCTGAATAGGTATTTGTATTGTTTTTGTCTTATTGTTTTAACTAATTGGATAGTGCCTTTTTAGGCTAAACAGATGACAGCTAATGATTTTCATCCAATTACCCAATTTTCGCTTCAATTCACCTGAGCAACTCAAGATGTTGAAAGATGGAATTCAATTTGGAGACCATGTCTTGTATAATATACGCCAAGTGGGTAACTAGCAAGCTTTAATTTCCCAGCTGCCTGCTTCTCACAGAGTGCTGTAGCATGCAGGTCACTGTAACTTTGTTTTCATTCCCAAAATCATAATACGCAAAGACAAAAACTGTTGGGCAAAGCAAGTGAGAAAAATCAATATTTGGCATTTGGAAACTCTCGGGAAAGTTCTCTTTGCAATGATAAAGAGTTTTCTAGTATTCACAACCAGTTTTCAGTATTCACAACCAGTTTTCAGCCCAGAGGGAGTATTTATTAAGGGCTTCCTCACCCTTTTTCTAAAATATTTGAAAATATGCAATGGACACAGTGTGATTTATTAAAATGCTAATTATTATTATTATTGAGACAGGGTCTGGCTCTGTTGCCCAATGCTCATATAATGTGTTAAAATAATGACATGCTATCTGAGCTGCAATATTTTTAAAAATTAAAGGAAAGAAATTAAAAAAAAAAAGTATGGCTTCAATTTACAGATACCCAGGGATGATTTCTTTCTATTTTTCTTTTTTGAGACAGGGTCTCCCTCTGTCACCCAGGCTGGAGTACAGTGGTGTGATCATGGCTCACTGGAGCCTCAACCTCCCAGACTCAAACAATTCTCCCATCTCAGCCTCCTGAGTAGCTGGAACCATAGGCACATGCCACCATGCCCAGCTATTTTTCTTTTTTTACTTTTAATAGACATGGTGTCTTACATGGAGTGCAGTGCCGTAATCCCTGCTCATTGCAACCTCTACCTCTCAGGCTCAAGTGATCCTCCTATCTCAATCTCCCTAGTAGCTGGGACCACAGGTGCGTGCCACCACGCCTAGCTAATGTTTTGTATTTTTAGTAGTGACTGGGTTTCGCCAGGTTGTCCAGGCTGGTCTCGAACTCCTGAGCTCCAGCAATCTGTCTGACTTGGCCTCCGAAAGTGTTGTGATTACATACGTGAACCATTGCACCTGGCCTAAAATGCTAATTATATCTCATTTCTATATAGCATCTTATGTAACTTGAAAAAAGCCTTGTCACTTTTGGAATCTCATTTGATACTTAGGATAGCCAATGAATTAGGAAAGGAAGATTTCATCCTCCATCCACCTTAGAATGGAGGCAGTGACAGATGGAATTTGAAGCCTTGGCAGTTTTGAAGCCCCTCACCAACGTTGAGGGTTTAAGGTACCACCTCCCAGGGAGGTCTGCTGAAGCTGTGCTGGGGTTTGGACGCCTGAGGGGCAGTGTTTGGTCGGTGGAGAAACTTTTTCTCCTCCTTTTCCCTGTGCTGGAGCTGCCAGCTTGGGGACTCCGGAGTGATCCTTTTCCCTTCACACATTGGGGTGCAGTCTGCAGGGTGTTGCAGAGGACCCTTGCCATTGCTGCTGGGTATCATCCAGCTCTAGACATGATCTCTCACAGCCCTCTCTGTGGATGTCCCCTCTGTCTCATGTATGCTCTGGGAGAAAGGATGATGGTGATGAATTCCAGGTGCCTTCTTACCCCCAGCGAAGCTGTTAAGAGGTGGTTCCTGGCCGGGCGTGGTGGCTCACGCCTGTAAACACAGCACTTTAGGAGGCTGAGGTAGGAGGCTCACAAGGTCAAGATCACAAGGTTCAAGACCAGCCTGGCCAATATGGTGAAAACCCTTTTCTACTAAAAATACAAAAAAATTAACCAGATGTGGTGACGCACGCCTGTAATCCCAGCTACTCAGGAGGCTGAGGCAGGAGAATTGCTTGAACCCAGAAGCGGATATTGCAGTCAGCCGAGATCGCACCACGGCACTCCAGCCTGGGTGACAGAGGGAGACTCTGTCTCAAAAAAAAAAGGCGGCCGTTCCTCGCGGAAGTTACTCTACTCCCGTCTGCCCTTCCTTGGCTTCTTTGCGTGCAGGGTCTATCCTCAGCCTTCTGTCAAATATTTCAGCCGTACTCCCTCCTTGCCTCCATTCCCTCATACCCTTCCAGTATATGCCCCTTTGCTGATGGCGAACAGGGGTAGTTGTGGCTGTCCACAAGCAAGAGCTCTGCCCGATTCCTGATTCTGAGGCAGGTGGGTCTTCCTTCTCTGCACGTTTGGAGTAGACATTCTCTGTGATCACTCTTCCTAGTCCTTGGCATGTGTTAAATCAGTTCTGACTGTGGCAAGGCTGCCTGGAGGGGTGCAGATGGGAGGCCTCTCTTTAGGGTGAATTTAACATTTTTTCTTAAAATAGGCTTGGCAGGAATGGGGGAACATCTCAGCTGGAGACGGATGCATTTTTGTGCCCCCCTTCCTTTGTGGGAGAACAGGCATACATTAGGAAATTGGTACATGGGAGCACATACCCCAGCTACCTGCAAATGTTGTACATTTCAGTCATTAGCTTACTGTAGGAAAGAATGCACCACTGAGATATTTCTCCACACTTTTGCACTGAAAACAAATTGCTTCCAATACTTTGCATACACAGTTAGCCTAAAGTGACTGTGCAGATCAAAGCGTAAACAAGGCTGAACATTTTATGAATATGAATACTGTACGGTAACTATGTAGGTGCTATACAAGAATTGTGACTTATTTATTTCTGTGTATCTAATAACATTAAAACATGATGATCTCCCTAACAGCTCCTCCCCTCACCCCATTATATTTTTCTATTTCCTTTCCTGATTTGGTTTTATTCATGGTTTCTCACTGGATACATATGTACACACACAAACACACACAGCACACGCACACACACAATATTTTTTCTATTATATTTTTCTGTTCCCTTTCTTGATTTGGTTTTTATTCATGGTTTCTCTACTGGATACATACGTACATGCACACACACACACACACACACACACACACACACACACACACACTTTCTTTCTATTATATTATATTTTTCTGTTCCCTTTCCTAATTTGGTCTTATTCATGGTTTCTCTACTGGATACACACACACACACACACACACACACACACACATTTTTTTTCTGTTATATTTTTCTATTCTCTTTCCTGATTTGGTTTTATTCATGGTTTCTTTACTGGATACATATGTACACACACAAGCACACACATATATTTTTAAATATTTGCTTATTTGTCTACATCCATCTTCTATGTCTTTTCTCCTGGAACGGGCAGGACAGGGGCTTTTTCTTGCCTATTGTGGCTAAGTCTGTAGCACTGGTGCATAATAGACGCTCAAATATTTTGCCTGAATGTATTTGCACATGGCAGGTGCTCAGGAAATGTATGTTCATTGAGTGTGTGTTTGGATGAACAAGCAGAGGCAGGCGTAGACTTAGGTAGATTAGATAAGAAAGTAGACATAAAGGTCCCGAAGGGGATGGACGCGGTGGCTCACGCCTGTAATCCCAGCACTTTGGGAGGCCGAGACCGGTGGATCATGAGGTCAAGAGATTGAGACCATCCTGGTCAACATGGTGAAACCCCGTCTCTACTAAAAATATAAAAATTAGCTGGGCATGGTGGTGCACGCCTGTAGTCCCAGTTACTCGGGAGGCTGAGGCAGGAGAATTGCTTGAACCCAGGAGACGGAGGTTGTGGTGAGCCGAGATCACGCCATTGCACTCCAGCCTGGGTAACAAGAGCGAAACTCTGTCTCTGGAAAAAAAAAAAAAAAAAAAAAAGGTCCCAAAGGTTTTTCCAAGGCCAGGTCATGAGCATGGCATTCAAGTCTAGGTGACGTGGTTTTGCAAGACTGTGTCTTCATGGTGTCCCTGCTGGCCTGATGGTAAGGAGTCCCCAGTCGGTTGATCAAGATCCCTAGGTCCTAGGCTTCACCTGCCCTTTCTAGGTCACCTGATGCTCCACAGTGCAGCTCCACAATGCTCAGAGGTTGGGGTAGGAAAGGGGAGGGCGGCAGCCTAGGGCATTTCCCTTGCTAGATCAACAGCTGATACTTTTCAGCATAATTTCCTCCTCACTGAGCGTAAGGCCAGGTATAACTTTACCTGCTTCTATGAAAATATTGGAGTTAAATGATGTTCTGGTAAAAAAAAAACTCATGATCAAGGGAAAATAGAAGTCCAAACAGGATTGGAAGAGTAGGGGAGGTTATAGAGGGCAGGTAGAATCTCTCCGAGTTTGGAGTCAGATAGACCTGGCTTTGAATCCCAAGTTATCACTTCCATGTTTCTGCCTTTGACCACATTTCTTATATATTCCTTATTCTCTTGTCTCCCCATCTGTGGATTGAGATAGTAGTACTCGCTAACAAGTTTGGCTGAAGATAAAAGGAGATAATGCATTTAAAGCATCATGCATGTATCAAATTTCAAAAGATTGTAATTTTTAGGGGGAAGAAATCAAAGAGGAGAGGAAGGAAGGAGGATGAAAGGGAAAGATGAGGAGAAAATGAAGACAAAGTTGGTCATGATGGGTAATGGAAAAGGGTCCCCTACACCTGTTTAGGGCCTGTGAAGCATGGGCACATACACGTGCAGACAACTGCTTAATCTCATGTTTGCACGAGGGAATTTGCAGGGGAGGTGGTGGGGCTCTTGTGAAAAAAGATCCATGTGAAAATCACAAGCACAGAGGATATAACTCATAAAGCCACCAATGTCTGGTTACCCCACGTCTCCTCATGTTTTCTGTTTCTGCTGCAGAGAGGAGAGTCTGAGTGGATGGGCAGGGACTGGGGTCAAGTCCTGGCTTGGATGACACTGGGTAAATCACAGCTCTTGTCGGTAATTGAGAGTTGTCCCACTTCCTAGGGGCATGGTGAAAATTCATGAGGATGCTTTATGACTTTAAAATAGGCATCCTGGTCAGGTGCAATGGCTCAGGCCTGCAATCCGAGCACTTTGAAAGGCTGAAATGAGAAGATTTGTTGAGCCCAGGAGTTCGAGATCAGCTTGGACAACATGGTAAAACCCGATGTCTACAAAAAGTTAAAAAAGAAAAATAGCTAGGTGTGATAGCATGTGCCTATAGTTCCAGCTACTTAGGAGGCTGAGGTGGGAGGATTGTTTGAGCCTGGGAGGCTGAGGCTGCAGCGAACCATAACCACAACACTGTACTCCAACCTGGGTGACAGAGGGAGACCCTGTCTCAAAAAAGAAAAAGTAGAAATCATCCCTGAACATCTGTAAATTGAAGTCACACTTTCTTTTGAATTACCTTCCTTTGGTTTTAAAAAATATTGTAGCTGAGATAGCATGTCATTATGTTGAAATTGTGTGTAGTCGGGTTTCATTATCCATAAATTCCATTTCAAAAAAAGGGAGTATTACAAAATATTGACTATGAAAATGGGGCATTGACTCAGGGTGAGAACCTCTGTGTTACATGCCTCATCTCTAAGACCTTATTCAGGTCCAACATTGCAGGATCCCAGGCAGCAGCCTCCAGAGCTCAAGCCTTCCCCTCTCGCTGTCCCTCTGCTGACCCATGTCCCCCTAGTTTCCACTTACAGCTCAGGAAAGGGCGCATCTCGAGGATCCTGAGAGTGGAGGTGACCAGGCACAGGGGTCTCGGCAAATGTCTCCAGACTAGAGTCATCTCTCCCATTCAGGAAGCCAGCCCCCATGGAAGCAGTTTAGAGGTCAGGCTCTAACTGCTTGCTGTCCTGCTGGACTTTGAGATTAAGACGGGGAGGTGGCTCTAAAAGGGGAATCCTGAGTGGTGACAGCCCATGGCTTCAGGCAAACCTCAGAGCCGTCTATTGTTGTAACAGTGCCTTCAAGGAGGAGAGAAAGAGAGTGAGGGAAAGAGAAACAGAGAGAGTGAAAGTAGGATGGAGAGAGAGAAGAAGAGAGAAAATAAAAGAAGAGAGCAGAAGGGAAAAGGAAAGAAAGCAGGCAGATAAAGCAAAGGTCATCTGACTAGTTCTGTTTAGTATTCCATCAGGGTTTCATTTGGGTGAGCTTTTCTCTGCAGGAGGTTGGTGCTGGGTGAGGGAGAAGGATCAGGATATGGCCGAAGGGGTCAGAGACTGAGAAACGAGGGATGTGACTAAGAGAGCAAGAAGGGGGATATGCAAGAAGTGAGTGAATAAATGAATTGGTTTTGGGGGTTTTAGAGAAAGAGGGGAAAACAATGGGGAAAGAGCCATTCCAAGGAAAAGCAGAGGGTACCAAATAGCTAGGTAAGGTTCGGGACAGCTGTGAATTCTCTTACGTGTCTGAAGAAGGCAAAAGGTTAAGGGCTGAGGTGTTAGTGTGCCTTATTTTCATTAAAATTTTAATTTCTTAAATTCCCATTTACCCCACTCTGGCCTCCCCCACCTTCAATCCCCATAAGCAACTATTTAGCACGTTTATATATATGTATCCTTTAGTTGGCACGCATTCTTGTAAAGTGTGTATTATTTAGGGTGACTGCAGATTTAATTTACGAAAATATGTGTAATACGTGTCTTTTTTTCTTTTCAGTTAGAGCCACGTCTTTAAGATGCAACCAGGTTGTGAAAAGTCCATCTCTTCTAGGTTTCCCACTGCTTCACAATGGGGGACCACATACTTTACATGGCAGTGCCTAAGGGGGACAGTGACAAAGGCAACTGCAACTAGGGGGTCAAGGGAGCAGGGATGGATAGATATCATTATCTTGGGTCACTCCGTAGGGGAGACAACTGACTTGGCCACATCCTTCACAAACACCTGCAAAACATCTCTTCCTCCGAATGCCCATAGGAGGCGAAGGCACTAGGTAAGCATAGGGAGTACGCTACATTTGAAGTCATTGTTTCTTTTTGTGTAGGGTTCCAGCTTCTAGTCAATTCTGCTTTGGGAGTAGTATGGAGTGGGCGTATGAGCTGGCTGGTCCCCTGCTGCAGAAGCAATCCAAGTCAGTGAGGCCAGGGGACACACAGCATCTCCCTGGGGTGCACAGCCTGTCCTGTGGTTGGACAGAGGGGAGAAAATGTTGAGGTCCTGCAGTCTGGTATATGCTCCTCAGCTCTACTGGACTGTGGTCAATTTTGCCTTTGTGAACACCACAGGCTATATAGTCTTCCTTGAGCTTTTTCTTGGGCTGTAAGATTAGAGATTTTTATGGTGAGAGGCACTCAATATCAAGGGGTCATATAGAGTGGGGAAGAAAAACAGTGTATTTTGAGTAACTTCTAGAGGAAAAGTGAGAGGTTATACTTCCTTTATTTAAAAGGAAAATAAATTATTCTGATTACCATAATATGTACTTCTGTTAAACAAACTCAAGCCTAGAAGAGCATAAAGAAGAAAGAAAAAAAATCACAACAAATCTGACCATTATATTTTAGTACATTGCCTTTCAGAAATCTTTCTCTACATGTGTATATCTGTGTATACACATGCTGTTTCGGAAACTGAGTCTTCATATTTTTTATTTAACAAGTTCTTTTTCATGGATAGCTATATTTCCTCTAGCATCCTAGGATGGAGAATTTTCTGCATTTGACTAGTTATTTATTTTCTTCAGATAAATTCCTTGAAGAGGGATTCCTAGGTCAAAATGTATGGACATTTTAAATACAACCCAGTAAGATGGCATCAATTTATAATTCAGCTAACATTGCACAAAACTATATTCTAAGATGTTTGTTCTTTTGGACTCTGTAGAATTACATCATATCCACAAAATCTGAAAACTGGATTGAGGAGGAAACTTAGATTGCCCCTAGAGCTTCATTCTCAGCATAGGAGTCATTTGGAATATCATTCCAAGATTCTACCCTAGCTTCACAGATAAAACTCAAATTAAACAGTTATTAATTCTGAGTTACAAGTGACAGTAGTTCTGAGTCTGTCTCTTCTCTCTCCTTTGAGCAGATCAGGTATAATTTTCTCAATTTTATGTAAGAATAGAGAAGATGAAGGACTACTTCAGTCTGCACAAATGGTAAATAGAGGAGAGAAGTCTTTCATTAGGTGGGAAAATATTGAAATTTCTCCTTGAAAAAAACACTTCACAAATGGAGAAACTTGGAAATTCTGTTGTCATGTTAGTGACTATCAGGGAGGATTTTTGCACACAAGTTCACCAGTGATTTATCAGTTAAGTCCTGAGCATAACTGAACTTCGCTCTGTCCCAGGACTTCTGTCAATGACAGAGCAGAGTGCAGTAAGACTCTGAAGATAATGAACAGCTTTTCCAAAGTAATATTTTCCCTTTCTTAGCTCATTTAGGAGTTGTGAAATTGAAGGAAAGGAAAATTATTTTGGAAGAATTTCAGGTAAACATATACAATTTACATGGAACTTCATATTACAGGTGTTCCATTTCACAGTTAATGGACTATGAAGAACGGAGTGTGCAGGGTGTTTAGACTGAGGTACAGAGATTGGTAAGTATGTTAAGAAGAGAATAACTACCTAAAGATGTGGCTCAGATACTGTAACCCTTAGAATTTCATGGAAACTGATTTTCTTAAAAATAATGCAAGGTCAAAGTCCTTGTGTTTATTTACTAGAACTCTTTGGACAAGTCTCATCAGAATTATTGGACTTACTATGTTTTAGAGAGTAACATTCTGGAGAGATCTGGGGACACATGGATTACCTTAGCCTTCCCACTAGGCTGTAATCCCCAAGAGGCCAGAGAGCACATCCATACTGTTCACTGCATCCCAGCACAGTGCCTGGCGCAGAGTGTTCATCAAGGATTGTTCAATAATGTATGTGGTAGAATGATTGACAGATAATTTATGTGGGGAAGATATGTGGTTTGCTAATTTTGTATTTTTAGTAGAGATGGGGTTTCTCCATGTTGGTTAGGCTGGTCTTGAACTCCTGACCTCAGGATTCGCCCGCCTCGGCCTCCTAAAGTGCTGGAACTAAAGCTGTAAGCCACCGCACCCACCTGGATGGGAAGATATGTGTTTAAATGGAGGAGCCTGAAAATACAAATCAACCGCTTTTTTGGTGGAATGCATGGATGTATGGCAAAATCTTCTTGAGCACAGGCCCTTCTCTTAGCAGTTGGGATTTTCTAGTTGTTCATTCTCTTGAACTTTACAACCAAGGCTTAATTATTGTTTTCAATCACAGTAAGATGAGAGTCCTTAGAATTTGGTTCACTATGACCGGGACTGTTCCTGTATGGGGGAAGAGCTGTTCCCGAACTCAGGGCTCTCTGTTACAGTGAATTATCTCACAAGGATGTTTAGTTACAGGGATGTTTAATTACAAGGATGTTTAATTATATCCAGTTATTGTAGTGATTATTACAGAATTGGTTCCTTTAAATAGTTCAAATTGCAAAAGAAAAATGAAGGAAGGGTGCATCAGATGAGGAGGGACCGTTTAACCACCAAAAAAAAAAAAAAAAAAAAATTCTCAATTAGAAGAAGAAAACAAAATCCAGCTATATGCTGTTTTAAAAAGATACACCTAAAACATAATGACACAGAACAATTTGCAAGTAAAGGAATAAAAAGAAACTTACCAGAGAATTACCACCTCCAAGAAAAGCCAATTAGCAATATCAGTATGAGAAAAAATAGGTTTTAAGACAAAAATAATCATTATAAATAAAGGGGATCATATGTAAAAATGAAAAGAATAATTTATTTGGAGGATTGAACATTTAAACTTATATATGACCAATAATACAGCCTCAAAATATATAAAACAAAAATTGATAGAATTACAATTAGTAGAAACTTACATAATCCTAGAAGATTTTAACTTACTTATAAATTACCTCAGAAAATGATATTTTAAGCAGCAAAAAAGATGAACCTCATTAATGCAAAAATCCTAAATAAAAGCTTAGCAAATTGAACCTAATAAGGTTTGCAAAAATATATCATGTGTAAGTGAGGTTCATCTCAAGAATGCTACAGCACTTTAACCTTAAATATATATTCTCTAAAATAATTTTCTGTGATAATTTACATATTAATAGAGAAAAGCCACATGAACATATCAATAGATGTAGAAAAAAATTGGAGAACTTTTAACATCAATTAAGATAAAAATTATTATAAAACTAAAAATATAAAGGAATACCTTTCACATAACTAAGGGTATCTGAAAACATTGCAGGGGCCCAGCAGCAGTTCTCTCTGACCTACTGCTCTCCTGTCTGGTCCCTCATTCTCTCCAGATGGTGGCCATAGAAACTGGAATCTTACTTCCCCAAGGCGTCATAGAAACTGGTCTTCTTGCCCCAAAGTCAGCTTTATAGTCTAAAAATTTTACTGTAACTTTACACCAGCCTTTTTGTGTAAAAGCTGACCATAAATAACCTGACCTATCTTGTTTGACTATAGGTCATAAGACCCCCTTTCCAGAGAGGGTTCTGCCCCATACCAGAAGGAAGGAATGCTGAGAGGGATTCCTACACAGAGAGACCAAGAAGAATCTAAACAGACAGGCCTTGGTAGGTTTCCTCATTCAGTCTATCAGCATTAGATTCAATAATTTTCCTACATGGCTGTTCATATTTTGTTGAAACTAAGCATAAAAACGGGGTTTCCTCTGTATCTTTGGGGCTTCATTCTGAAGGCTCCCATGTCACATAAAACTATAATCAAATAAATTTGTATGCCTTTTCTCCTATTAATTCACCTTTTGTCAGTGACTTTTAGTGAACCCTCAAAGGGCAAGGTGGCAGCTTTCCTTTGCCCCCTACAACACCTATGTGATGCCTTATATGTGATAGTGAACTTTTTGTAGCATTCTTGTTAAAGTCAGGAACAAGGAAGAATGCCCTTAACACGTTTCTGTTTAACACTGTCCTGAAAGCCCACGAAATAGATCAAGAAACAGAAATAAGAGGCATAAAGACTGGAAAAGAAGAAACAACGTTGTTACTTTGTGGTGATACAGTTGTAAAAACTAAAAATCCAAGAAAACTTACAAATTATAAGAATATTAATTAGAGTTCAGTAAGGTTACAGGATGGATGCAAGATCAGTATTTAAACATCAGTGGGGCCAGGCAAGGTGGCTCACGCCTGTAATCCCAGCACTTTGGGATGCTGAGGCCGGCGGATTACCTAAGGTCAGGAGTTCGAGACCAGCCTGGACAACATGGCAAAGCCCTTCTCTACTAAAAATGCAAAAATTAGCTGGGTGTGGTGGCATGGTCCTGTAATCCTAGCTACTCGGGAGGCTGAGGCAAGAGAATCACTTGAACCTGGGAGGCGGAAGTTGCAATGAGAGGGTGCCTAGGGATGAATCTAATAAAACATCTGCAAATATTTATGAAGAATAATGTAAAGTTTTATTGAAGCCCAATGTGAAGGAATTGATATACCAAGTTCATAATTAGGAAGACACAATATTATAAAGGTGTATCTTCTCCTGGCATTAAAACATAAATTCAATCTAGTTCCCAACACAATTTCCTTAGGAGACTCGATCGGCTCACTCATAATTCATATGATGAGTAAATGGCCAAGAATAGCCAGCACAATTTTGAGGAAGGGTATGGTGGTGTGGGAATTAACTTACCAGATAACAAGACATTGTGTAAAATATGGTAATAAAACAGAGGAGTGCCAGGGCAGGAAGAGATACACAGGAAAATGGGCTAGAGAAGCCTGGACTAAGATTTGGGTATATGTAGACACTCGGAAGATGACAAAGATGGCATAAAAGATAAGCAGGAAAAGCCTGAGTTACTCAGATACAAATGGGTTCATGAGGGAAATAAAAAGGAAAATAACAACCTCATTTTATGCTCACTGAATTGTCAAAAATTAAACATCTGAAAGCATCAGGTAATAATGAAGATGAAGAGAAATGGAAACCACTACACTGATGGCAAGGGTACACATCAGTAAAACTACTTTAGACAGGAAGCAATTTGTCGGAATCTAGGAAATGTTAAGATATGCATTTTATATGACCCAACCATAAATACCTCTAGGTGTATATTTTGGAGAAACTTTTGCACATATTCCGATGGGACTGGCATAAGAATGCTCATTGCATCGTCATTTATGACAGTGAAAATAAAATGTTGCTAAATAGGGAGATTAATAAATTGTATATATGTGTACAACTATAACAGTGGTATACACACAACTGTTAAATGAAAGTTAAATGAAAGTTAAATGTTGATAAATAGGGAGACTAATACATTGTAAGTATACAACTACAGCAGTTGTATACATAAAGCAGTGAAAATTAAATGTTGATAAATAGGAGCTTAGTAGATTGTATAGATGTATACAGCTGAGCAGCTGGAGCTATTTGTATCTCAAAAACCCAAAGCTGAATGAAAAATAATCGAAGTGCATAATGATATCTGCTATTTTTTATGCAAACTCATAAATACCAAAGTAATTGCTCATATTATTTAGGAATAGATAGATATGAGATAAATGCATTGCAAAAATAGCAGGGAAGGATATATAATAACTTTAGGATTGTGGTTACCATTGAAGAGAGATAATTTGGTTGTTGAGGGATATAAATGATGGTATTTGTAATGTTAAATGAATCTGTGTTAAATTAAAAAAAGGACAAGCCAAAATATGAAAATTGATAAGATTTAGATGTGGGTAAATGATCTTTGTTATGTTTTTCTATATATTTTTCAAGTACTTGTGAAATATTTTATGCAATAAAAAGATCACAAACGGATGATGAAATCACAGCTGGTTTTAAGCAAAGATATTGGATAATTTGAGGCAGGAAAACAAGATCAAAAGAAACCATGAACCTTTGGCCCTGAGATTTGTGGCTTGTTAAATGAAAGTTGATCATATCTCAGGTTTGGAAACTTGGGAAAGTTGATTGAATCTCAGGTTTGGAAACTTTCCTTTAGATTGTTCTTGGTTGTTCCCAGGAGAAGTTCCAAGAAACTTCTGAGTGCTTCCAAGCCTGCTTGCATTTTCAAGGCTCAAGTCTGGCAGATGAATAAAGCCTGGGGGAATGTGTGTTCCATTTTGATTTAGAATAAGTAGGAAAATAAAATCAGAGGTGTTCAAAGATGAGCACAGAAATTTGTGCCTGAAAAAAAATGCTATGGATGAGTGTCCTAAGATAAATGTTTCAGCATGTGTCTGCATACTATATTTACAGAGTTAAAATGCAGTTTCCTCACCTTCTTTTAAAAAATAGATTCTGATGGGTTTCATTGTGGCAAAGAAAAAAAACTTGTCTCAAGTTACATTTTTCATGTAATGCATGTTTCACATACATATATAAAGACCCTCCAAAAATCATTGCTCAGGTAATAATTTATTAAGTCAATTTAAACTAAACATTGCTACCATTGCAAAAGCATTTTCTCTGAAAAAGGACTGAAAAATGCATCATAAAGTCACATAGTTCAGCAACAATATCAATATTGATTATGTAAAGTAAAACTACTGGCAAACATCATTTAAGCTTACCCTATAATTTTTAATAACGTTATAAGGAGCAAATGTGTCACCTTAAAAATGTACCAGTGGCATTTACAAATTCTTTCAAATTCGTTTATAAATACAGTAATAAAAATTCCTGAGCTCCTTTTTCTTACACCAATGTTCACTAATCAACATCCACACGGTGTTTTATTTGACGTCCTCTTTCCTTTTCTCAAGAAAATATTTTATCACATTCATAAAAGTATCTGTGCTTCAAGTCAGTTTGTAAGTATCTGTTTTAATGTGAACCTGATCATAACAGGAGAAAAATGCTTAACATTAGCAGGGGCAGCAGGAATTGAGGGGTGGTGTGGGGGACAGTGGAGGGGATGTAAATAAAAGAATTCCAGTTTAGGTGCTGGAAACTTCAAAGTAGAATACATCTGACAATATCAAAAAACAGGCTCAGTTTCATCTGGATGGTTTCAAGGGACTTTCAAAGGTTAAAGCCAGCAGGAATTATCTGCATATTCTGGTCAGGAAGGTCCCTCTTGGGGACTTTTCAATAATCCTATATTTTACCCTTCTCCCTAGTACCCCCACTGCTCCCTTACCCCAAGATTTGCAAATTTCTATGGAAATGGAAGTTGCATCTTCCAGACCCCCCAAAACTGGGGAGATTTAGAATGTATAAAACTTGATTAGTAAGTTGTAGGAAATCTGACAAGGTTAAGGTTTCAGATGGGATTCCGGCAAAATGTGGCAATATTTAATTTCTGTTTTCTGTTGGGAAAGTACATTCAATACTTTTGAAAAATTAGCTACATATTACTCCTCCAGCTCATCATTAATTGTATGCATCTTGTGACTAGTGACTAAGATTTCAAATTTTGTACCTTAAAAATATAAGAGGGCCCAAGAATTCAAGGCAGTTGGCTTCAATATAAGCACAGGAAAGCTAGCATTTCTTTGACTGAAGCCAAGTTTTTAGAGCGTGATACTCAAGTAAGAAAGAAATTTCTCATTATTCTGTAAGACATGGCATTAGAGAATTAAGAGGAAGCAGAGAAGAACTTGTAAAGCAAAACCACACACCATTTCACAATTCTGCAGTACAAACATGAACAGTAAGCAAAATTTTCTAGGTCTAGATCCATTAAAAGTAAAAGATTATCCATTTACACTTCATCTGAAGAATTTTGTCAGAAAAGGCGTTAATAATATGGATAAATAATAACTGTTCAAAAGGATTCCCCACTTTAAAAAATGGTTTGGCTCTTTCTTTATTTCACAATATTTAAATAAGCTTCTCTTATTGAATCTCCTTGTATCTGGTTCCATCTCCCCTCATTTTTCTCAGCCTCCCACGTTACAGGGATGAGGTAAAGGAGGGAAATTTTGTCTTGCAATCATATGGAAGGGTGGACATAAAGAGGAAGAATTTTTTTTTGTCCAACTTACATAAACAATGTCCTGATTATAGATCTTTTAGCAGCAAGAAATGTCCAAAAAATTGCTTCGACCATGCTTACATTATTTTGCTCATCTCCATTTCAAATAAAAAAATAGAGCAAGCGTAGGTAAGGGAATTAAACATTTATTGAGCCAGGCACTGAGCTGGGTATTTTCAATAATTATGTGAATAGGAATATAATGAACATATTGTATTGGGATGTCTAAGATTTTTGTTTGGCAAGCACTGTTTTTGGCATGCAGTAAAAATGAAGATGTTACGATAATAACACTAGCGTTATATCCCATACTATTGACAAAGATTTAACTACTCATGTCGTTCCCTCAGAATAGAAGGAGACAAATGAATAAGACCATGGAAAACAGACAGCACAATGTGCCATAAGCAAAGATTTACAGAATGAAAAATGCAAAATAACAAATCAGATGACTATAATCTTCTATAATTAAGTCTAAAAAATAGACATTACAATAATTACATATATAAATGAGTTTTTAAAATCAAAACAAGATTATTCCTGGTAAATGGCTGACTTTTCCTATATCATACTATGTTCGATGGCTAAAATCAAATAAGGAAGAGAGTTATTTCTAGGGGGGTTACAGAAGTCAATTTGTAAGAGACATCATTATCATGGCTTTGGACAACTAGAAGGTGACTTACAGTTAGGAAAAAACCTGCAGCCTACTGTTCTGTGGGTTTTTCATCTGATGACTTACTACACATGCTTGTGCAGCCTCTTGCAGCCAGTTTTTATAAAATGTAAAAATGTAAGAATGGTTATTCAGAAACTTGCATAAGCCTGCAAAATGGTGACTTAGAAGGTGTAAAAAAGCCAAAACAAAAACAACCCCAGCAATTTAATTATAACAGTGACTTCTAATGTCTCACTTAGTGTTGGGGAATTTTGCTTGGCATTTTCTAGGGAAAGAGGAAAAGCAGAGGTAGTGCTAGCTTTGAAAATATGGAATCTTAGGCTGTTACATATAGCTTCACTTCAATATGGCTTACAGAAGACACAGTCACCCAACAGGCTGGTTCTAGATTGTTTTGGTTTCCAATGAGACTCTTCAATTATTTACAATGAATGATGAAGCACAAAAGCAAGCCTCATTATGCAAAGAACACTCATGAGGCATCAGCAGTCACATGAAACAAAGCCAAGAGGCTGACTTTTAAACAACTGTTGGATTGTACTTTAAACGTGTAATACCCCAGAGCAGCTGTACAATGAATGACATAGAATCCTGCTTCTAGACAAAGATTGAGAAAAAAATTAGTACATTCATGGTTTCAACAGAAATATATTACATATTTTTTCAGTTTGTTTTACAGTCATAGACACAATCATATTGAAATTACATACGAATAGATTGTACGTTATTAAGTAATGATTTTCATTTGTATTACATGATGAGTTTCACAACATGAGGATTACATATTTCAATGTGGTGTAAACTATTTTAGAACCACATAAAGCAATATAGTACAAAATAATGTAACAGTTACTGTAAAGTCAGAAATGCCACTTGGCAAATATATCAAACATGCCACTGAAAAGCAATCAAAGCATGAGACGTGACACCTTTCATTTCTAAACTATAAGCAGCTTTGAAGGAAGGACATTAGGACACAAAGGGGAAGTAGTTAATTTTAAAAATTCAAAATTGTCTTTTCAGGAATTTTATAAAACAAATTGTTTTTCAGAGGTATCTTTGCCATACAGTTTTTCAGATAACATGATAAAAAGATGTTTCCCCCAGGATTTGCAAAATGTGCACAAAAAAACCTCAGACTACATTTTGAGTTTTATCCAAGTGAAGCATAATTTGACCATAACTATTAAAGTTTGTTTTTTATATTCCTACTTCAGTTGCTGAAGTTTTTTTCTTTTTAATCGGCAGCAAGTAGAATGTTAATTGAGATTATCTGTGGTCTATTTATTGACCACATCTTATAAACAGAATAGGTTTTTCCTATTTTGAGACTTTGCATGTCTCAATATTTTCTAAATTGAAATCAGAGCGTTAAATCAAAGGAATTGGTGTGGACAAAACAGCCACCAGCATTATAGTGTTGTGAATTATGTACCTCTCTTAGACATAAACTCAAAACACTGAACAGATTTAGATTTACCATGTCCAATAAAAATTGGATTTAGTGGGTTAGTCTCAGCATTTCATGGAATCCTGAGATGCCCAAATCTCTGGAAACTTCCTATCTCCTATTTTATTGTCCTTTTCCTTTTATTGAAATGGGTGTCATGAGGTTGCCAGACCAAAAGTCACCATCCTGCAAAATAAAAGTCTGGGGTGAGAACTCCTGTTGTATTTTTGGATGATATATTTGCTAATCATAGAATAAGTTCAGATCATAATTATAAATAGGATTTCTCTGAAGCAATCACTCTGTATTTTTAAAGCTTTCCCTTAAGACCTCCAGTATCTAGTCATCAACATAGCTTAGATTTATTTATTTATTGAGACAAGGTCTTGCTCTTTAAGGCTGAAGTGCAGTGACACAATCACGGTTCACTGCAGCCTCAACCTCCTGGGCTCAAGCAATCCTCTGGCCTCAGCTTCCCAAGTGGCTAGGACTACAGGTATGGGTCACTATGGCTGGAATTTTAAAAATTTTTGTAAAGACTGGGTCTTACTATGTTGCTCAGGCTGGGCATGGATTTATAAATGGCCTTTGAATTAACTAAATAATTAATGAACATGGGCTTAGTCTCTAAGCATGCAAATCTTTAAATGGGGTATACTTATGATCCTCAACTTGGGCTTGGAGATCTGTGGAACTGATTTAAACTCTGACTCAGTCTTTTGTAGTGCCAAAGTCATTGCTTATGAATAATTTCATTTCTTGTGGATTCTATGGTTGCTACTCTGAGGAAAAATAGTAGGCTCTGGAGAAGGAGTAAAAACCCTACAAATATGTAAAGCTTGGAAGAAAAAGGAAAAGCAAAGATGTTATATCAATCTGACTTGGAGGAACAGATCTCTGTTTTTCTGTTAAATATTGTTACACAGTCTCACGTGTTCATGGCTTCAGGCCAAGGGCATGTCGGCAAGGCTTTCTTCCACTGCACTTAGGACTTTGACCTGAAACCCTGGATTTTACCTAGATAATGAGAATCAAAGACAGAACTGACAGAGGTCTTAGAAACCTTTTAGGCCAACCCACCTATTTAACAAGTAAGGAACCTAATGGCCAGAGTTTAAAAGACTCATCCAGGGACTTACATCTGCTTAGTGGTGGTGATGCGATTTAGTCTTGGACATCGAGTGCTCAGTCACTGTCTTAGTGGCAGCATTATTGTGCTTGAGACAAAAAGGTAGAAAACGAAATTTGTTCACTCAAGTACACGTGAGACTTTCGTCAATGGCACATCTATGTTAGCAACACTTGGGATGGTAATTCAAAGTTATTTATATTTTTCCGTCTATGTGCAAAGTTCCAATGTGCAGGCATTGTTCTCTTCAGGTTTAGGCATGTGAGCCAATGACATTCAAAAATGTATCAGTATGTTTTAGTATGGAGAGTCTTAAATCACAGGGTGGCAGGTTTATCCCAAAATCACAGTCAGACTCAATTTCTTATCAGGCAAAGTAAGTCACACATTCACAATAGCTCTGTGTTGATTCAATTAAAAAAAACATAAACATTCACTGAACATTTGCTGGTTGGCCCTTAGACCATTTTGTTGTGCCCTTTCTGGCTTCTTCTCATCTCTCCATTCATTCATATATCTGTATATCTATCTCTCTCTTTATATATCCCTATAAAGGCAAATGCTACTTTCTAATCAACACATTTTTCCTTGCAAAATGAAAACTTAAAAAAAAAAAACTAGAGGAAGGCACTTTGTAAAATGTGCACAAATCTGTTTCTTTCTTGTCTACTCTAAGGAGATAGGGAAGTTGCTAAAGGCAGGGCCAAGTCTTTCTGCAAATGATGGGCAGTGGTGGACACTTCAGGAAAGAGAAAGTCAGAGTTTCCCCAGAGCCAAACTGCTCCTTGGAATGCAGGGGCGCCTGGTTGCTCAATCACTCACAGGCTTTTCACATTCAGCTGGCACATCACGAGACAAAGAGCAAAACTGTCCAGATCTTGTACAGGCAGTAAAGGATTGACTCCTTTGGACCAAGCCAGTTAAAACGAGCCTTTTGCACTTAAGTGACTACCAGGATTGGTTTTAGGCACTTAGGAAAATGTAGAGTCTGTTAAACAGCTAATAAATGTAGGGTCTGTTAATATCTGGCATGGCTGATACTAACTTGTGCTTATACATATCTGTTAGAATGAATTGGAACATTTTGCTATTTGGGTTGTAAGCTACACAAATCACCCACTGACTAGATTCAGTTTCCATGTGCCTTAAAACTTGATTATTTACATTTTTGTTTATAAAAATGCAACTTTTTATAACTCAGAGTGTAAGGATCCTTAAGCCAACTGTGCAATGGTTGTTAATCTCGGATGATGAGAGAAAAATAATTAACAGCTAGATATAAGAAAAGGAATTTGGGGCTGTTGGATTCAGCAAGGAATGAGCATGACTTGATTCAGTAAAAGATCATTTTCCTAAAGCTTAATGCCTCATTCAATATGTCTCTTTTCAATCTCATGCCTTTTTAAAATGCCTCTTCTTTCTACACATATATTTGCACATAATATTTGAATATGATTCTGCACACGTATCACTTATAAAATGCAGTGCAATATATTAAGATCAAGTGGAAGTGATGATTTAGAAAGCAAAGTATAAGGAGCACATCACTGAAGATTACTTTGTATTTCTGTGATGAAGAGCAATTTTTTGTTAGGTTAATTAAGTTAGAAGGCATTGGTTGGAATTATCTTTGCAGAAAAACATTCAGTGAGTTATGGAATCAAGGAGTCAGTTACAAAGGACCTTAGAGATTATTTGGTCCAACATCTTCAGAGGAAACAGGCTTAGAGAGCGGAATTAATCTCTCCAAGGCAAAGCAGTTAAGATCAGAATCTAGGTCTCTTGATCATCCTCTGCCCCCTATGTATCCTTCCATGTGAACAGCTATCTCCTTGATAGACCACAGAAAAATTCTTGTTAGACCACAAAAAACCTTAATTCATATAGCTTGCTAATTGATCACAGAATTAAAGTTTTGACTTAATGAGTGGCTAATTGGTATTTTTTAGGGATTTAATTCCTTAGCTGTAACATTTGTTCATATGTATTATACAAAATTATATGTCAAAAGCAGACTACTTTTATGTTTAGGTTTTCAAACTATAAGAGTGACTGACATATATCTTCTATATTCTTAGAGAAGAATATATTATGTTAGGAAAGATTTAGTCTGATTGGCTTTGAGGGTAACCATCTTTGGTCAATGCTTCTCAAGGTAGAATATGTTCCTTGGTCTTTCAGAACATATGTGTACTTTTGCATGTCATTCTTTTATGTGAATTCACAGAAGATTCAGCATAACGTGAATCTTAAATCATTGATATGTTTCTTTTTTTTTGCCATCGTACATGCAGTGTTGTTCACTGCAAGTCAAACAGACTTGATCTGTCTTTTCCAAAAGAGGATTGTTTCTATGCACTAAAACAACCTTTAGTAGAAATGGTTATCTAGAACAGTGATTCTCAAACTTCAGTGTGCACTTGAATCATTTGGGGATCTTAGTAAAATGCAGATTCTGATTCTTTAGGTTAGAGGTAGGGCCTAAGATTCTACAAATGGAATTTTCAAACACTGCCCAGGTGATGCCTATGCAGTTGGTTCTCAGACAGTGTAAGAATTGAGGATCTGGGGGACTGAATGAGCTTGGACAACTTTCCCACATGCTTCCCTTACTCACATGATATTGTTTATATATTAGGAAAATAGAGCTTCATGTCAATTGCTTTTGCCGTTCCCAAAACGCTGGCAACGTGTTCACTTTCTAACAGGAGGGGGACCTCTGAGTCCAGATGCTATCAATCTGGGCGAGTTGGGGTGGAATATTTAAATCCCAGAGGTGAGATCAAGTTCTCTATGTCCAGCTGGTAAGTGGACATATAGAATAGATTTGCCATCAAGTGAAGGGAAAAAGAGAGGGAGGGTGTTAGATGAGTCATGGATGCGTCCTTTAAAATGAAAATCCAAGCTTTGACATCTTTCAGGAAGCCTGGCATTGGAACTGACTAGGAAATCTCACTACTGTGCTCTGACCTTTGGAACTGTGCCCATTGCTCTACAAATACCTAGTTTCCTAGAACTTTTATTTGGACACTTCTGATATGAGCTCTGTTTCTGCGTCTGCCAAGATTTTGCAGATGAATTTACTTCAGAGAGACACTGACTCCTGGCTTTGCTTAAAAATATTATTTTGCTGTCCAAGATTTCTCACAAAAACAAAGCCTCTCTCTTTCAAACAGCTGTTAGAAATCATCAGTCTCCCTTTTTATGGTAGCTTTAGGAAGATTCAGCCATTGATGAGCAGGAGTCCCAAAGGAGCCTTAAACTCAAAGGAGAAATAATTTCTGGTCTGTGAAGAATTCTAAATCCCTAGGTGGTTGTTGTTGGTAGTTGTTGCTTAAAGCGTCCTGGAGATTAAAACAATCAGGTAAACTATACTATATTGTGTTGAAAACGGAATTTTGTCATTCACTTTATATTTCACAGTGGGCTTTAGGTTGGTATGGCATTTTACGCCACAAACAGGAAATGCATATACTACTATGTAGTGTAAATACACATTATAACCTTGGAGCAGAAAAATACTGTACCTGCTGAATACATAAACAGCTGTACTGGGAAAATAGAAAATAGTCTTTTATTTTACCTAAGTGATAGAAAAATAGTCTTCAAAAATACATTGTTAAACTTATGGGCTTATATTAAAGTAGAATTTGTATGTACAGTAAGGCAGTAATTACATTAACATCCTGCTGTGGTTTTCTTTTAAAGTTAGTATTTAGGGATTTTTTTTTCACTAAGAAAAGACTAGGGTGTATAATAAATTATCTGTCATGCTGAAATGAAGCAGGAAAACATCCTAAAAGGATTCACATGAAATTCATTTGCCCCTTGTGTAAGAAAATTTTAATTTCCAAACCATATTCTAAAGAGGCTTTAGAATAAAATAGAATTCAGGGGAAGAAAATCCATGCCTAACATATTTAAACTATTTTAAGAAAAAACTGGAGGCATCGTTTCTGACTCGCATGTCAGCAATGTGTCAGTAAGGTATAGGAACTGATGTAAACAATTCGTTCTGGAATGTATTCTTTCTTTATATGGTTATATTTGGATAATCCTAATAAAATGGAAGAGGAGTGTAAAGGTTATATAATTGTTTTTTCAAAAGCAATTTTCAAGGCACTTTCCACCTATTTGTCATCTTTCTATGGTAAACAATTTTGACAATTTCATTTCCATCTGTCCCATGCCAAATCATGAAAGCCTTTTCCAGAGGATATACCCATTGGCATTGTCCCTCAAGAATACTAAGCAGTGTGCTTTTATTTCATCAAACACAATTTTATAACTAATAGCAAAGAGAAAATCTACAAATCACATTTAAGAAACAGAATGATTTGTTCTAGAATCAGCTGTTGCAGAAAGAGGCAAGTGTTTGAAAATGGAGCACGAAAGGAGCTGGGAGCTTTAGTAGTGTCAGTCCGATTACATTCTTGAGCGTTTCATGTACTCTGTAGTGTTACCTGAAGAAAAATCACATTTTAACCAATCATTCCATTAGTCAAGCTATCAATGAAAGGAGTGTGTAAAACATGCGGGATCCAGGTAATCCAAACCACCCAGCTGGAGCCTGCAGTTGCTTGGTGTCTCGGTGAAGTCGGCCAGGCCTTTCTCAGCTTGATTCTGTTCAAGTGGTGGTGGGGCCTCTTTGGCTGATTCTTCAAAGCAGGCCACGTTTTTAGTGTGCGGATCCGGCACCAACACCAGGATGTTGTTATCCATGACCCTGGACACCTTGGCATACTCCTTACTGTTCTCAGGATCCCTGGGCTTCTCAGGCTGGCTGGTGTTATTTCCCCGTTTTGGTAGCAATGATAGTGCGCCATCTTTGTTGATCTTGTGAATCTCCACATAATCCAAGGGTTTAGTGGAGCCAAAGGAGGTTTTCTCCTGGGGCAGCATCCAGTGCGTGTCTTTGTCAGTCTTAGAATGGAAACTTTCTACCTCCCTCTGCTGGGCTGCCTTTCCCTCCTCTCTGGCCTTACTGATTTGAGAGGACTTTAAAGCATCTTTGCCTGCTTTGTCCAACAGAGTGGCTGGTGCACCTGCGGGGCCCACGGCCAGCTCACACACATCAGCAATGTTGTGGTAAGAGGATCTGGGGTTGTGTTGGCTGGGCTGTGGTAAGGGCCATGTTGAACATTTGGATCCACCAGCATGAAAGTAGGGGGTTTTGCCTTCCATGCTTCTGCACTGGGAGTCCCAGGTGTGGGTTGTTTCAGGATTCTCTGGCTTCTCAATGACCTCAGGAGCACAGAATGTGGAGGGACTGGCCCGGGGTTCCTCGCACTTTTCAGACAAAAGGGAGGGGCTGTCACAGCTCCCCCGGCCTGAGTCAGTGTCAGGATCCAGGTGTGTGGGTTTCATACCTTGACTTGGGTGTTCTTTCGAATGGACTGACATTAGATGCTGATTCTCACTGTCATCTACTTCTAAATACTCCACCAGCAAGTCCTCATAGTCAGAAGTGGGAGGAAAGTCTTGGCATCCCAGGGCGCTTAGTAGTTCTTCAGACTTGCCCTTCTATGAAAACACAGGCACAAGAAGATTTGGCTGTTAGCTTCAGAACATTTGAAATCAGCATCCCTGGTAAGTGGTATCTGTTCATTGCCACAAGCAGGTGGGAAGATCTCAAACTTCAGACATTTGTGTGCCAGGCCATCTAGAATCACCTTCTGGATATTATTCAGCAGATAGTTTTCTTTAAGTCAACTCAGGATATTTAACTTAGTCTCTCTCCAAGCAATAATAATAATAATGAGTTTAGTGGGCAAGTAGTATATACACATATAATAATAAACAGATAACTATAAAATAAAGGTTTGTGAAACTTCTAAACCCAGTGCTCACAGATGCATCTGACACTGCAGCCCACTGGCAGAGGTGCGGTTTCTGGCCTCCTAACTTCCTCTATGATATTCTATTACCTGGCAATAGTAAGTGGGTTCTTGTCTTTTCCTTCTGTGGTTCCTCCTCCTTCTCTCCATCTTATTTCCCCTTCCCTTCTCCTTTTCCTAAACCACTGTTTTCTTCTACTCTTCTTCCTCTCCCTCCTTCTATTCTCCCCCTTTATCTCCCTATTCCATATTTTCTCCCATCTCTTGTTATTCTTCTTTCTCCTTCTATCCTTCTTCTCCCCCTCCTGTTTCCTCCCACCTCCTCCTTTCACTCGCCCCTCTTTTTTCTTATCATCTGGCTTGGGTCAGGTACTGACCTAGGTCTTGGCTATATTACTTATTGTAGGGTATGTGACTTTGGACAAGCTGTTCTCTGAACCTCAGCCTCTCCATTTTTAAAAGGTAGAAAGTAATATTAATACTATCCATCTGGGAGGGATCTTTTGAGGATTAGAGGTAATATTATTAAGAATACTAATATATATTTTTTTGAGACAAAAGTCACTATTTTATCATTAAGTCTCTGTGGCTAGCATGTTAAACTGTGGGCTGGACAGCAGCTAATTTAGTTTGTTGAGGCATTCATGCTGGTTCTATCAGGTCAATGCTACTCTGGATAGTGGAGGAGGATCACTGGATCAGGAACCCGGACGCCTGGGCTCTAGTCCCTGCTCCGATATTTGCAACCAAAGTGAACACAGACAAGCCATATTATCTGGGAGTCACTTCTACTTTTACACTGTCAGACCCAGAGCAGCTGGGTCAAGTGGTATTTCCTTTAAAGTACAGCTGGTTGCTTTTATATACATCATTGTTAAGCTTAAAAGCCGAACTGAAACGATATATTTCAACCTGGAGAAAAAATTTAAAATGTTCTAACCCCTCTTTTCATTCAAAACACTCACCATTTAATTCCCTCTTTCATCAGCCTAAATGGGCCCTGGCAAACAGATGGCCCCACTGAATTGATCTGATCTCAACTGAGTACCCAAAGTGAGAGATCATGGCAATAGGATATTCTGTTACTATGGCTTTACATAAAGAACATTCAAGTAGAAGCTTTTACCATGTATGATCGGGGAGGGGGTGGTCCTTGTTTTGCATTAATCAAAATATTCACCCTCTTTCTAAATTGATGATTTATACAACATGTTTTTCTCTAATGCTTATGAGTCAACCTGATAAATCAAGCAAGCATTGCTATGTGTTTCCATGTTTTCTTGACTTTCTCTCCTTGCCCTCTGACATTTAGTGTGTGAAAGTAAGTACCCTCATCCTTCACACATCTTTTGTTAACACACATGCCAACCAGGAGAGACAGCCTGAAAAGGCTGGCTGAAACCACCAGGCTGAACTGATGGGGACTGTGTGTGCGTGTGTAGAGTGTTATTGCAAAGCAGTGAGTCACACTGGAGTTTTTGCCTCTTGTCCTTACCTCCAACAGATGAGCATCAAATCCTTTTATTTTTGGCCCAGGAACTGGCGGAAAGATGCAGGTCACCATGCTATAAAATAATTCATGAGATTGGCTAAATGACTCATTTCTGACTGTAATTTTTAAAAGATTAGTATAATAGCTGCTATATGCACTGTGGTAGAGATAGGACTTAGAGTTTGACAGCTACATGAAACAATCAATGATGAAAATAAAATTACAGAGTCCTATATTAAAATTAGCCCTAGCTAATTAAGGAGGCTGATTTTGAAGTTAGTGGACTATTTGGACTATTTGCTGCTTTTGATTTTAGCTACTCTTGCCAGATTTTTATGGTTTTACAACTATCAATCTTTGTTTCATAGAAAGAACATAAGCCTGAAATGTTTTTTCTACTTTTTCTAACACTGATAAAAGATTTTTTTTTATGGGCAAAAACATTACATCTGATGGCTAAAATGAGGTGCTTGGATTATCTATAGGTTTCTATCATCTTTGTGTTATTCTTTTTGCCATTATCCCTGACTATCATGATGCAGAGAAGAAGTTCAGAGACAGTGAAGTACCTATAGCCCTTCAAAGCCACTGCCCAGACAATAATCAAACAGATGACAGCAGAAAGAACAGCCACAGAGATCCACACGGTTGTATCTTTCATGGTGAACTCTAAAAAACAAACAGTCAGAAAGCTTTGATCACATACAGCATCATTAAAAACAAACAAACCTAATGAATGAAACTCTTAAACCCAAGAGTGTTTTCCTCCATCTATATATATTTTGATTTGAACAGCAATCCGAAGTAGCATCAATGACAGGCCTATTTTCTTTCCAATATTATTAATATATTAATATGTTGCATAAATTTTATAGTACTCTACAAATTTAAAAATCCCTTCACATATTCTTTTAATTGATCCTTAAAGAGGAAATCCAAGGTCACATGGTCATTTGTAGTAATAATAATAAAAGCTAACATTAATTAAGTTCTTACTAAAAGCCATCAACGGTGTTAAGCTCTTTGCCTACATTGCTTTGTTACAAAAGATAAGAAAACTGAGACTCTAAGAGTGAGTTACCAATGGCCATATAACTATAGTGTTGCAGGCTGGGATTTGAACTCAGGCTTTCTGCCTCTAGATCCTGTGCTTTTGTTAAGTAAGAGGCAGGACTGGACTAGAAGCATGCCTGATTTGCAGTTCAGTGCCCTTTCCAGTATGCCAAGGCAATGAAAGCCCAACACTTTGGTCAGGCAAGTTGTTAGAAGAGCTAGACTTTGCCATGTGGTTCTGGGAAAGACCCTAACTTTGCTGAGGTTTGGTTTCTTCACTTTTCTTTTCTTTTCTTTTTCAGGCTGTCCTGCTCAGTCACCCAAGTTGGAGCACAGTGGCACGATCTCAGCTTACTGCAACCTCCACCTCCCTGGTTCAAGCAATTTCTCTGCCTCCACCTCCCAAGTGGCTGGGATCACAGGTGCACACCACCACGCCTGGCTAATTTTTTCTGCATTTTTAGTAGAGATGGGGTTTCACCATGTTGGCCAGACTGGTCTTGAACTCCTGACCTCTACCTGCCTTGGCCTTCCAAAGTCCTGGGATTATAGGCGTGAGCCACCATGCCCAGCCTCTTCACTTTTAATTCTTAACAATAATCATATTCTCTGAATACCTGGGAGGGTTGGGAGGACCAAACAAGGTACAGCCTTTGTAAACTATAAGGCATTTTAAAAATGCAAGATGGATTGTTCCCTTATAGAACACAAGTTACTGAATTAAGATGCTTTGCTGGAGCTGTCTGTTTTATATCCCATGTCTTCACTAAGAGACTGAAGTATAATCCATAGCAGAGACTGAACATCGGTTCATGCCTTTGAGACAGGGTAATGCCTTATAAATTCTGGAAGGACTAGATGATGACCTTGACCAAATCCTCTAAATGATAGGAATGGGGCAGATGGTGAGAGCAGAATGACTGACCATCAAGCCCCTTGAGACACCAGGCCTGTGTCTATAGCCTTATCCTAAAACTGTTCTCCACTGGCAGTAATCCAGGGAGCAATGCTGCTCTTCAAAATCTGTGTATTGGGCAGAAAGTTTATAAACTCACCTTTTCTATTCTGGCTAAGGCTCAAAGATGTTTCTCTATTAGTAGTTACTATACGCAAATGTACCATTTAAAACATATTTAGGGACATAAGCAAAAAAGAGCCAAGATGCTCACCAGTAGGTATCTGAATGGAGTATTCTGGACTCCATGAGCTCCAGTATCCATGGTCTGGCTTGCAGCGAACCTGGACAAGATATTTCTGTCCTGGATGTAGGCTGAGAATCTTAAACTCTGTTTGCTGCCCAGCAAAATGGGTCTAAGGTAGAATAAGGAAAACAGAAGTCATTTCTGATATTTGTTGTGAAGAAAGAGAGTTTTTCCCTAAAACATAAACTACAGGGGAGTTAAGCTGAACAATCATATGCAGAGAATTCCCAGCTGTCACTGCTCCACTGTCTTAGCCCTATCTCTTCCTCCTCTTAAAATTGCTCACACAAAAATTTAACAGGTTTTCTATCTTTCCATTTGGGACTCTACTTCAGAAAAGTCAAATATTCTGCATTCCTCCCACTTTATGAAAAACAACTAGTTAATATAAAGAACTGTTAGCTTTTAAACCTTAATGAAATAACTGATTCAATAATAAATTGGTGTTAAAGACACGAGGTGAAAGAGAATTGGGCATTCATGTATGGTAAAGTAGTAGCATACAAATTAAACATGACTTTACAATCAAGGGATCAGTGTGACATCTCCCCAATTCAGGGACCAGTTTTAGCATCACTTACAATGGGTCAACCAGATAGTTTTTGACATCTGATTAAATACAATATAGAGTACATAATATCACCTCTGAATTTGCCAATTCTTGGCAAAAATTGTTCAGCCTACATCTAATCAAGTCTGGTTACAGGAAATGGAGACATAGAGAAATTAGCTCAATGACCTGACAAAGAACTGATCAGAGAAATGTAGAAGGTGGGATACATTTGGTATGGGACAAGTAGCCCAGTCTTCCCATTGCACTGAAACTGAAGGGATATAACAATCAGTTACAATGTGTGGTCTATGAGTGGATTCTGGTTTGGACAAAGTAGCTGTTAAAGATATTTGGAGACACTGGGAGGAATTAAACTAGGGACTGGTGATTAAATGATATTAAGGAATTTTAATTAATGTTCTTATGTGTGATCCTATTATTTTGGCTATGTTCAGAAATGTACCTTTTTTAAAGAGGCATATACTAAAGTATGTAAAGGTGGAATATTGTACTGCCTGCAATTTACTTATTTCTTTAGGTTGAAGTACTTTATTTTTATTTTATGTATTTATTTATTTGAGACAGCCTTGTCACCCAGGCAGGACCCTGGCTCACTGAAACCTCCACCTTCTGTGATCAAGCAATTCTCCTGCCTCAGCCTCCTGAGTAGCTGGGATCACAGGCACCCACCACTGTGCCTGGCTAATTTTTTGTATTTTTGGTAGAGATGGATTTTCGCCATGTTGGTCAGGCTGCTCAAACTTCTGACCTCAAGTGATTCACCTGCCTCAGCCTCCCAAAGTGCTGAGATTACAGGCATGAGCTACTGTGCACAGCATTTTTTTTTTTTTTTTTTTTGAGTCGAAGTTTCACTCTTGTTGCCCAGGCAGGAGTGCAACAGCACCATCTTGGCTCACTGCAATCTCCACCTCCTGAGTTCAAGCAATTCTCCTGCCTCAGCCTCCCGAGTAGCTGGAATTACAGGCATCCAGTTAAGTTTTTGTATTTTTAGTAGGGATGGAGTTTCCCCATGTAGGCCAGGCTGGTCTTGAACTTCTGACCTCAGATGATCCACCTGCCTTAGCCTCCCAAAGTATTGGGATTATGGGTGTTAGCCACTGCACCTGGCCTCGTTGAAGTATTTTAAAGTAAATAAAAACACAGCCATTGACTATGACTGAGATTCCCCCCTCCTATCTGGTGCAATTTAAGTACTCTCATGAGGGTCTAGATCTAAAATGTATTAACAGAGGCAGTTTGGAAACCTGGTCAAATGTCTTTGTAGTGCAAGAATCTAGCCTGAGAAGAGCTGTGAAAATGAACCCCCATCAATCCCAATAGAGGGGAGAAGAACTTTTCACATATGGGTAAGTCATAACTGCATTGGAGGCCAACACAGTGACCCAATGATTAGGAGGAACAACCTGTTTTCAGTTGTGAGGGCTTTATCCTTGCCAAAGGTCACGGTTCCTTCAAAAAGCATATGGATCACTCACCTCCCATTCCTCTGCATTCTCGGGTTTTAATTGAATTTCGTATAGGAGCGTGAACCAACCAGTTTTTAAGTCAATCAGGGTAGGTGGAGACCATTTAATCCACAGATAGGGTTTTTTGTCTTCTGGCTGTTTTACTTCCACAACCACATTCAAAGGAGGGTCTGGTTGAACTGTGGAAATACAGCAAAGTCCAATAATACTCACTGCTTGCACGTTTTCTTTGGCTTTACCATTTTCTATCAGGAATTCCATTTTCTATTTATCATCTGACTCTTCTCACTGTGCTATAAGTCCCCCAAAGACCAGGGATTCTGGTCTTCTATCTCTTAGTATGTGACCAACCATATTTGTGCATACAGATGAGATTTAGGTGGTAAGAGTATTAAGCAGCTGGGATTTCATTCTCTGCCTGTTCTCGCTTTCCATCAGCTAGAGTCTCATAGCTATCCCCATAATTTTAATGATGACAGAGACCAGGTGATAAAAACTGGGCTGGGGTTTCCAAAAGTGGGAGTTGGCATGGAAGACTATAGGGAAGAGATTTCAAATAGCTTATTTCCTTCAGCTGGGAGTGAGAGTCTCCTTAGTGACACACGGTTTTTGTGAATGAACTATTCATAATCATAACTTTGTAGATAGCAGGTTTATAGGTTCCATTTTTGTTTCAGCAACTACATCTTATATTCAACATACACATTATACCAACATACACATTACACCCTGTGGTGAATGAGATCCACTCTCCCGGATGTTAAATTATTAAAATGTACATGGAGGTTGAGCTTTTTGACAATGATCCTTTCGGTGATTTCATAACAGTCCATTGGCCCAGTCACTCATTCAACAAATGTTTAGTGAATTCCCATTAGCAAAATAATAGCTAATGTCTCTCGAGTATTTACTACATGCCAGTGACTGTAAAAAATACTATCTCTGCTTTATAATCCTCTAACTAGTCCATGAATTGCTGTACCCATTCATTTTACAGAGGAGGAAACAGGCTTAGAAGAGGGAAAATTACTCGCCAAAGGACACATATTTGGTAAAAGTGTTATCTGAACCCATAACTATATGACTTAGAGGAAGCGGCCTCTACCATTTCACTCTACCATGGTTGTAAGACTTTGCATTCATGTCAGGTGCTGGAGAGCAGGCCTGGGATTAGGTTGAGGTGAGTGAGGTGAGTGAAGAGCATAGGATACAAAATTCAAGGAGGGACAAATGGCCAAGAAGCACATGAAAAGATGCTCAACGTTATTAGCCTTCTGGGAAATGCAAATCAAAACCTCATTAAGGTACCATTTCACATCTATCAGCATGGCAAGAATTCGAAAAATGAAACATAACAAGTGTTGGTGAGGATGTGGAGAGATTGGAACCCTCATACATTGCTGGTGGGTATGTAAACCAGTGCAGCCACTGTGGAAAACAGTCTGGAAGTTTCTCAAAAAGCAAAACTTGGAATTGCCATATTGCCCATCAATTCCACTCCTAGATATAGATTCAAAAGAATTGAAAACAGGTGTTTAAGAAAATCTTGTATGTAAATTTTCATAGCAGCACTATTTATAATAGCCAAAAGTGAACAAATCTAAATGTCCATCAGTTGATGAACAGATAATAAATGTGGTAGAGGCCAGGCACGGTGGCTCACACCTATAATCCCAGCACTTTGGGAGGCTGAGGTAGGAGGATCACCTGAGGTCAGGAGTCCAAGACTAGCCTGGCTAATGTGGTGAAACCTCATCGCTACTAAAAATACAAAAAATTAGCCAGGCATGGTGGTGCACTCCTGCAGTTCCAGCTACTTGGGAGGCTGAGGCAGGAGAATCGCTTGAACCCAGGAGGCAGAGGTTGTAGTTAGTCGAGATTGTGCCATTGCACTCCAGCCTAGGTGACAAGAGTGAAACTCCATCTCAAAAGAAAAAAAATGTGATATAGTTACATATTTTATGATTCCATGTATATATGAAATACTCAGACGAGGCAAACTCCCAGAAACAGACAGCAGATTAGTGGTTGGCAGGGGTTAAGGAAGGGAGAAATGAGAAGTAAGTATTTAGTAGTGGATGTGAAGTTTCCATTGAGGGAGACAAACGTGTTATGGAACTAGACAATGGTAATGGTTGTACAATATTGTAATAAACTAATGCCATTCAATTTCATACTATAAAATAGCTGAAACGGTGGATTTGTGTTTTTTGTTTTTTACCACAATAAAAATAAATAAAGTGGCTTCTGCTGGTAAGAATTTAAAAAAAGAAAATGAAGAAGGCATTTACTCTAGTAGGCTCCTGTGGCTACAGCCCCTGTGAGTACCTTCCTGAGACCCAGGTGCTGGGGTGCTAGCTTGTCCTGCTGGTCAGTGACATTTTCTCTATTCATTTATTATTTCCTTAAATCAATCCCTGTACCATATGGGGAAAGAGTGAGTGTAACTATAGTATACTTGGCATTATGACCTACGTTTGCCTAAAAACCAACATTTAAATATTTGTCACCCATTGTGGAAGGGCTCACGCCCACAGTCCATGCCATCACCACTCCACTGAGAAAACTGTGAATGGCTCCTCTGGGAAACTGTGGGGCAACAGCTGTGGGGCTTTCCAGAACATGATCTGTGCATCTTTGGTGCTGCCAAGGCTGAGGGCAAGGTCATCTCTGAGCTGAAGGGGAAGCTCACTGGCATGGCCTTTCATGTCCCCGCCACTGTGTTGGTCATGGACCTGACCTGCCATTTAGAAAAACCTGCCAGATATGATGACATCAAGAAGGTGGTGAAGCAGGCATTGCAGGGCCCCTTCAAGGTCATCCTGGGCTACGCTAAGCACCATGCTGTCTCCTCTGACTTTAACAGCAACACCCACTACTCTACTTTCCATGCTGGGGCTGGCACTGCCCTCAATGACCACTTTGTCAAGCCCATTTCCTGGCATGACAATGAATTAGGCTGCAGCAACAGGGTGGTGGGCCTCATGGCCCACATGGCCTCCAAGGAGTAAGACTCCTCCAAGGAGTGGGATCACCAGCCCCAGTGGGGGCAGAAGAGCAAGAGCGAGGCCCTCAACTGCTGGGGAATCCCCGTTGCACTCAGTCCCCCACCACACTGAGAATCTCCCCTCACAATTTTCAAGCAGACCCCCTGAAGAGTGGGGGCTTAGGGAGCCCCACCTTGCCTTGTACCATCAGTAAAGTCCCCCCTGTACCAAAAAACAATTGCCATCAATTCTAATCTGGTATGTTACTGAGTAAATACCTAAGAAAGATTACTTTGAGTATATTTCCTAAACAAATGGCAGCTAATTAATAAATATTATAAGTTAAATACATAACAAGCAATGCTTCTGATAAAAAAAATTGTACAAAAATTCAATTCAAATGTTCAAGATATATCTTTTAGAGCAAACTTTCCCAACCTCAGCACTACTTGCATTTTGGACTGGATATTTCTTAGTTGCAGGGGACTGTCATACACTTTGTAGAATGCTTCGTAGGATCTCTGGGCTTTATGTACCACATAGAAGTAATACTCCTGCCTCCCCACTTTCCTAGGTTGTGATAATAAAAAAAAGTCTCCAGTCATTGCCAAATATCCTGTGGGAAGCAAAAACAGCTCCCAGTTGAGAACCACAGCTTTCAAGTGTTTTCACTATAACTAAATATTACTCAACCACAGAGAATTCTACTTCTGAGCCATTATCTGCCAATGATGTCATTCTGTACTGCAGGTTATCACTGGCTAAGAGTCAAAGGGTCAGAAAATGTACCGTGCACTGTAAACTGAACTTCCATGGGCTGTCACAATGCTGTAGGCTGCAGGGTTATATGAGAGTTCTGTGGAGACTTATTATTTTGAAAAATATGGTCCAACACATTCTTTCACCAGAGAGTTTGTTTTCCAGAATCAATGAGAATTTCATATACATTTGTTCATTTCTCTTTTGAAACATACTACTTTTCTTCAGTGAACTCTTTTTTTATGGATCACATTTAATAAAACGGTTGCTAATTTCAGAACATTTCTTGCTTTTATTGTTTTGCCTTCAAATATTATAACACTTGAGGGTAAGGCAATACACACACACACACACACACACACACCACACTTATATAACATTTATCATCCATCATGGAAGGACTCATGCCCACAGTCCATGCCATCACTCTACAAAGAAGACTGTGAATGGCCCTTCTGCACAACTGTAGTACAACAGTCATGGTAGTACAACAATCAGAACATCTTCCCTTCTTCACCACCCTCTTGATGTCATCATATTTGGCAGGTTGTTCTAGACAGCAGGTCAGGTCCATGACTGACACATTTGTGGTGGGGACATGGAAGGTCATGCCAGTGAGCTTCCCATTCAGCTTGGAGATGACCTTCCTGCAACCTTGGCAGCACCAGTAGATGCAGGGGTGAAAATCAATCTCTCTCTCTCTCTCTCTCTCTCTCTCTGTGTGTGTGTGTGCACACAGAACATTGGTAATTTTTAACGTTTACATTACATTATTTTCTTGAACACTATGTTTGTTAAGGATTACATGGTACCACCTCACATTATCTTCTTATGCTATAAAAGTAACATGTTTAGTAAAAAAATTACAAATGGGGTGTATGTGTGTGTATCTGCATCCATGGCAATTGCTCCCATTGCTTTGCCCCAAACTCATACGTGTGTGTGTGTGTGTGTGTATACATTTCACATATATACAACATATATATGTTGTGGATCAACATACACACACACACACACACACACACACACACACACGTATGAGTTTAGGGCAAATCAATGGGAGCAATTGCCGTGGATGCAGAACCAGATGAACCCTTCTCAGAGCTTCTTCTTCATGGAGCAGCTCTGTCTTCCATGAAAAGAAATAAAAAGAAATCTCAGCTTGCTAAGGAAGAAGGGGACATTGATTACAAGGGAAGGGCAAGATAGAAGGGTTGGCAAGCGAAGCAAACATAGAACGTTTGTGCTGAGCGCAAGAGGATGAGGGTCAAGGGAAAGCACAGGAACACAAGGATCCCAAGCCCCAGCCTTAGTGTCATGGATGACTTGATAAAAAATGATTTGAAATGCTCAGTTGACAAGCATATTGTGAATTTTCTCATCCTTTTTTGGGGTGGGGGATCCATCCAAAACCCAGGAAAACTCACGCTGAGTCTGACTATTGGCTAATATATAATGGAGTGGCAAATTTCTCGCCCATTTCCCTTCCCCTTACCTATGTAAGTCACGTCCACATAGAGTTCATTCGAGAAAGTGCTTCCCATCTCATTAGTAGCGTTGACTGTCATGACGTATGTCCTCCACATGGAGGTATACTGCTTGCCAAAGTGGCAGGAGTTGGGGCCACCAGTTATGTAGTCTGGACATTCATGTATGAGTGTCTCTCTGCAATAAGTAATGCATTAGGAAAGAATAAGAAAGTGATAAAGAGAGTCTAGTTTTTTCTTCATAGATCAATACCACTGGACTTTGGGTATCAGAAATTTCAAGCGCAAAACCCAGAGCTGATGAATGGTTCCCCAGGCTTCCGTGTTCCTCCCATTTCAGCTGAGAGTGAGAGAAAGAAAAGCATGCTGAAAAAGTTATTTTAGGGCCTCAAGTATTTTGTTTCTTATCAACCCTTCCCTTCTGTAAGTGTTCTTGTGGGCTCTGGGCTATATATTCCCTGCTGATAAACACTTGCGCTTTCAACGACCCGGGCACCACCAAACCCAGGTCACGCCCATGGGGTCACCCCAGGGAACTGGAACTTTCACCTGTCCACACACGGGGTGCAAAGCACAATGCAGCAGCTTTGCACATGTGTGTTGAATTACATTTCATTTTTTAAAAAAGGGTCCAAGGGGACAAAAATTGATGCTGATCCATTTCAGACTGCACCAAGTCAGCAATAAAGTGAAGTGATGGTGAAAGGAGGTATTTCAGGTCCAAGTGGCTCAGTAGGCTGCTCACATTTAGACTTATGAGCCTCAGCACAAGACACACTACACAGATATAAAGGCTTATTCAATTCTGGTTGTATTTGAGTTCCTGAAATCTGTTTACATGATGCCCCTTTGGATTTCAGCTGGAATAACAATTTTGTGTACAACAAAGTGCAGGCGTCGGAAAGTGGGCCAGCTGTCTTTACCAGCAACTAAATATTTTCCTTTTTGAAGAAGAGTACAGCTCTCCCAGGATTTCCAGGAGGGTCTCATTGTGAGTGTAACAAAATGCTTGCACAGAGACGATCTGGTTTAGCCCTCATTGCAACCTTAGGTCCAAATATGTCCTTCAGGAGATCATGGCTCCTGGATCAGCGATCTCCTAAGGAAAAATCTCACCTTCTTCTCCCTACAAGGTTCTTTATTTTCTTGAACATGAAACAAGTTTGAAAACCTTGTACCATGTTTATTAAGGATTACATGGTGCCACTTCATATGACCCTCTTATGTTGCAAAAGTGACATGTTTAGTAAAAAAAAAAAAATTACAAATGGCATAAGGTTTATAGATGAGCATCTAAGATTAACTAGCACTTAAGAAACACTTATATGAGGCCTGAGGCTACAACCTAGGCTGTGACAGGGATCTGAAACATTACTGACATTGCACTACTATGGCTGGTTACCTTATGTATATTGACACAGCTCTTAACAGACATTAACAGGACAATGTGGGCATGGACCTTAGACTCCCCTTTCCCCAGTGGTATGAACCTTACTGGTGTAAATTCAGGGAAGTGCTGTCACTCAGAACCAGTGTTTCTTTGGCCTGGAGAATGGAAATACTCACGTGGGCTTTGATAGGAGAGAAGAAAACTTCTTACCCTTCCCTGTGGTAAGTCAGTGAATAATTGGTAGGAAGTCCTCCATCTGCCCCAGGCCTCCACCAGCAGGTGAATGTTTCCTTATTGGGGGAACGACATTTAAAGATCTCAGGTTTCCCAGGAGGTGACTGTCCTAGAAAAAGACAGAAGCCACTGCATCAATATTGAGGTCCATTTAACCATTTGATCCTTCTGCTGGTGGCGGAGCAGACTGATGGAACCCAGGCCAGTGATGAAGTCTCAGGGTGAGGAGACCTAGGGTGGCTGCTCAGAAATGCCAAGCGTCAGCAGCCAGCAACACTCCTCTGTAGGCTACCCTGATGTTGGCAGGGCTCTTAGAGAGCTTTGTGGTTTGTGTGTGTGTGTGTGTGTGTGTGTGTACTTTGAGATGGAGATACCAATAGCCTACGTGAGGGCTAGTGACTAACTGCAAAATTTCAACAAAGAGTGAACCTTGAATGCAAGATAGACACATAAGGATTGAAGAGTGTGTGGCCCTTTTGTAATCCCATGAGGTCTGTAAAGCTGATATCCTCTCATTCTAAGGGGATCATACAAAGAATCCTTCCCAGGTATGAGCAACCTGCAAACACTGCCAAAACACCACCCTCTGGCACTTTCCACTCTGCTCACCAATCTCCACTTTTCTGCCATCCCCACACAATGAACTCAACCTGTTCCTGATCTTCTGTCTGTTTACTGCGTTGCTGAAGCTCCCTGTATCTGGGCGTCCCTCCCTTCCTCTTTCCCCATCTTCTCCTTTCTTTCTCCTTTCCCTTCACTTTTTCTTGATGTTATTCAGCTTTGATCTTGTGACCCAGACTTATAATCTATCTTCTCATCCACCCAATCCCCATTTCTGAATCTTAGTTTTTATTCCTTGTTTCTCTTAGATTTTTTCTCTTTCCTTTTCTTTTTTTGTGGTGAGGTTGCAAAAGGCTTCCTTCGGATTCATAGGGCTTGAAGAGTGTGTGGTCTTTTTGTAATCTCACAGATTCTATAAAACTATAATTCAATGGATCTTTTTGGGATAGGAGGTATGGTAAGGGGTAGGAGAGTGGCCAGCTCCTCTCCTGGTTCCGAGCAACCACTATTATCTAAGAGCTGTACCTAGTTCCAGGCCAGACTCCAGAAGGTCTCAGTGAGGTGGTGTGAAAATACAACACCAAGGATGTAAAATTTTTTAGTTGCCAAATGCCCAAAGCTCTTGGCAAGTGGGCCCCCATTTCTCTTGCTTAGATGTCAGGTTCAAAGAGGGACAGCAGAGCCTTGGAGTTTGCCCTGATGCTGTGGGGCTGGGGAAGCCACCAGACTCACCTCTATGACTTCAGCTGGTCCTCTTTTTAGTATAGCTGGATGCCCTAGCATTGAGTTCAGGATGTCAGGAACAGAGAGGAGCACTTTTAGAGGTGGGCCAGCACCTCTGGGGGTTCTCTCTGTTTTCTCCCCTATACCTCATGCAGGCTCCAAGACCAGAGTATCTAGCTTAGCACCAGATCAGAAACAGCAAGTTAGGAGGAGACCTCAGTGGGGGGAAATGGATGGGAAGAGGGGTCTCTAGGCAGAGCTGGCCAGAAAGAGAGATTTAGTGGAATGGCATGTGGTGGGACACAGGCTGGAGCCCGGGACAGCAGGCTGGAGCCCAGGACACCAGGCTGGAGCCCAGGACACCAGGCTAGTAGTATCAGCTCGAGCTCACCTACCCTCCCGCTCACAGGCTCTGCTGAAATTTGTCCGTGCCAGCCTGGGGCGGCTCTGCCAATATTTGTAACATTGTTCATCCTCTAGGGACAATTTATTCAGGATAAGCTGTTGCTGGGAGTCACAGCAAGAATGCAAGTTTTTGTTTTGCTTTGCTTTTGTCATGAGTGGGGAGAAGCGTGTGAAGTAGAAATAAAAGCTTATTTAAAACATTCAAACCCTGTGGTTCAGTAATGAGCGCACTCAGAAGCCAATCAGGGTGATCATTGATTTCCTGAGTATTTAGAGTTTCTCTTGCAGGTCATTCTGACCTCTGCTTTCCCCTTTTCCTCTCTTTGAAAGCTTCTCTTCTTATTTTACTGTTTATTAATAGTACCTTCAGGAGACTCAAGAGAAGGGGGTAGATTTGTAAAATTGCAATTAGACAAATGTTTCTTTCATCTACATTAGAGGAATAAGTTAAAATTCATGGACTTTCTCAATGCACAGAAACACAGAGAAAACCACACAGGTACCACACGCACAGGTATGTAGATGCCCACACAGGGCCCACATCAAAAGTACACCTCCCACATCCCCCCCCCCACACAGAGAAATACATACAGGTACATACTAATGAAAATACATACTGGTATGCACACAGGTACATGCAGAGAAGTGTACACATATGGATATATATACACACAGACATATACAGAAGTATACACGTACAGGTTCAGACAGAGAAGCATTTGTAAACAGGTCCATATGGAAAAGTTAATATCTACACAGGCACATACAGAAGCCTGCACACCCAGAAATACACAAGAGTTGACATACAGAAGTGTATATTCACAGGCACCCATCCTCTCATTTAGCTGTGGACTTCATTTCTCCTATTAGCACAGATAATAGAGTTGGCTGTACCTGCCTCCCGCCATGTAACAGCAATCTGTTATATCCCATCATGGTTTTTCAAAGATTTTTCATATACATTATTTCATCTGTGGTACAGGAAACATCACTATCCTTACTTTGAAAATTTGGAAACCCAGAGAGTTAGGTAATTGGCTCTAGCTCACACAGCTGGAAACTGGCAGGACCTGGATTAGAACTCAGGTCCTGTCTTCAGAGCTGTTTCATTACACCCCTGGAATGAGGACAGAAGGCAGAGAGCACAGTGACAAGATTTTGCACTAACTGCATTAATTTTTCTCATTAATTTTAATGCAAAAATATTGCAAATAATTTAATAGCAGCACATAACACAAGCATTTTCATTTTTCATAATAGCATTGCAAGAAGACTGCAGTGGACCCTGTTGACAAACACCCCAGGCAATGAAAGAGAGCATGATAGTCTCTTACTTACCATTCAGGAGGCAAGTGTTGAGAAAAAGCAGCAGAGTGAAAACAGTTGCAGATGCCACATTTTCCTTCATGTTGGCTGCCTTCTCTTGCTACAGGAAATGTATCAGAAGTTCACTGGAAGAGAAAGGCACCAGGTAACTTTTGTGAAATGACAGTCTGGTCAGGCACATCCACCACTTTATTCTGAGTGTTTGCAACTGATTGTTGCTCCTTGCTTAATGTGAATGACAAAACAGGAGGAAAGGAATGTAGGAAAATGTAACAGGGTTGGATGGCTTGGCACGAAACATCGATTCACACACGCTGGGAAAAATTCCACCACCAGAGGTCCTCAGATGACAAGGTAGAGAGGTCAAGGGAGAAAAGGCAGTCAGTTCCTTTGCACACACCCAGAGAAAAATTGTTCTCTTTCCACCCCATACCCACCTAACAATATAGCATTAATCTTACGTAACTTAGATTGTATATCCTATGAGAGAATCCTTCTATGAGGGCTCTTGCCCTGGTCCATCAACCAAAAATTCTCCAAGCTGAAAAGTCAGTAACCTCAGTGTAATCTCAACCTAACCACGTTGATTTCACCGAGTTAGGGAGGCTTTGAAGGTTCAAGCTGGAAGCCTTCTGGGATATATGCATTACCGCAAAGCGAATCACACAATGAACTCTAGTGAACCTCCACGTGGTTTCTTTCTCCTGTTTGGAAAGGCCCATAAACAAAAGATAATAAACTCTGGTAATAATTTAAATCCCTTGGGTTCAGAGTATTAAGTAAATTTTGAACCTGCAGGGGTTGGGAGTTTGGGGCAATATATTATTAATATTATTATTGTTACCCTTGGAACAACTTTCAAAGCCTCAAAATGTCCTTCTAAGAAAAAAGGATTTCTAAAGACATTTGGAAAAAATGGCTCATTAGTCTTGTTGGACTTCAAACAACTCAGAAAACAATAGATTTGAACTAAGTGTAAATTCTTAGAAATGCATGGCTTAAATTTCTCTTTAATTTTTTTTTTTTTTTAATCAAGGGAAGAACATTCAGGGTCAAAGCTGCTCATCTTGGGACATTTGAAAGATCTGAATGTGTTTGATAAGCCCCTAAAAGACTAACCTTTGCTATTGCTCCTTGTGGGACATACTCAGAAAGGGAGAAACCATAGCCACAGTAAAGATTGGACACCCGGGCACCGTCAAGTAGCTCTCTTATTCTGAGGCTCCAGCTTCAGTAAAGGATCCTGGCCCAGCAGTGGATCCTGTGAGGTGACCTGTATTTTGATTTTTTTTTTCTTGGACCTTTTACCTGCTCCTGCAAAATTCCTTCCAAACAAATGCCCACCCATGGTGCACTTTCTAAATCACCTGCTCCATCTCCCCAGTGAGGGCCATCTAATTAAAATCAAATGGTTAAAGGCTCCTAATGGGTTTAAAATAATGCCTATGACCTCTAGAGCATCAACTATGGGCAGGCACTGGGGAAAGTAAGTACCTTAATCGTGTAAATTTCATTTGTTATCACAACCGCCCTGTGTGCAGGTACAGGTTTTAACAGATGAGCAAATGGAAGTACAGAGATTTAGTAGATTGTCAGTCACATGCCTATGAGAGAAAGACATCTGGGAAACCTGAGAGCCACTGAGAGATCATCCCGTGTGAAGTCTGTGATGGGGGACCCAAGGTGGGCAACATCAAGCCTTGAGTGGCTGTGGCACTCTGAGTAGGAGCAGGAGAGCCAGAGGTGAGAGAGGCTTTCTCAGCTATTGACCTACTTATGCCCAAGGGCCTCAAACACTGTTGATCTCTTGAAGCCAGACTCATTAGGTTCATATAGCCCAAAACAGTTCTTTATCCTGGTGATCTCGTGATCTCAGCCTGGCTTGGAGATGGGATTCTACCCACTGGCTGAAGACTTTCTATAATATTCCTTTATTGAAACTTCCTTTCTCTTTTGGGCATCACACTAGCATGCTTAAGATCAACGTGCTATAAATCCGACCATCTTGGTGAGGTTGGGTGCTATCTGGAGAGCTTTGCTGAAGCAGGGCTCCATGTGTTTTGTAGAAGAAACTCTGGGATGGGAAGCAGAGTGGTCAGGCAGGAGTATCTGCTTAGATGTTCTCATGTGCTAGTGCAGGATCAAAGAAACTCTTCTAAATAAAGTTTTCCTGTAATAATGTCTTCAGGAAGCATTCTATGAATGAACAAAAAAAAAACCCTTCCCTTAGGGATTTCTTGGGACATATCCTGGAATCTGGTTACTATGATGCACATTCTAATGCCTAAATCCTCCATGCCAGAAAATTAGACATACTCACAGTGGTGTCCTAACAATGATTTCCCGACCCATCCTGCATTTTTCTTCCCAGAAGGGCAAACACAATGGGGGTAATTTAACCTTTAGAGAGAAAGATAATCACAACTTCTCACTCCTAAAGGAGCTATGCTAAATGTTAATTAACTCTGATCACACAAGGAGATGCTTCTCAGTACTAGGCACACCTGTTTACTGACGGACATTTTTTATTTATTTATTTTTTTTAAGGCTGGCAGACTCTAAGCTGGGGATAAATTAGGTTTTGTCTCTCTGAGTCCATCCTGCATTGCTCTCAAGATCTTGATCATGGGCAGGCATGGCCCTTCCTATTCTCTCCCAGTTGGGACTGTAACATCCAATGAGGGTCCTCACCTTTTTAAGACATTAGAGCAGCAAATGGCTCCATGCATTTGTAGTTCAGTTAGCAAAAAGTCAGCCCCACACAGCCCAAGAACTATCATCTTAGGCTTCACTCCTCAGTAGCTCCTTGGTTGTGACTGAGGTTCAAAAATGCAGGTGGTGGATCTGCAGATCAGGTTTGTAGCAAGTTTGCAGCCCCACACCTTGTCTGTGGTTAGCTGCCTTGGCTTCCTTGTTTCCTGATCCTCAAAGACTCTCTTGTCCTTCTGCTTCTCCCCTTACCTTATTCAAATACGCCTTCCCACCATTCTGTGGCCAACTGTGGTGTAAACTCCTAGAAAAGTCCCTTCTCCCTCATGTTGCTCGGCATCAGTGCTGACTCTGTTTAGGCTCTCTCTTTCCAAAAGCCTCCCTTCATTTACCTTTCCATTAAGCCAAGTCTCTTCCACAGAGGCCAACAGTTGAGAAAAAGGCCCAGCAGCTTGTCCTTTTGAGAAACTAGAGCCAGTCTCCCCACATGAAAAATTGAGGTCACAGTCTCGTGGCCTGGGCTGACGGTACTATCCATATTAGGAAGGGAAGACCATAGCAGAGGAGGCAGTGTGGCCTCATGAGAGTTAAAAATAAACCAGATCCAAGCTCCCAACACCCCACTCCCCACTGTCAACCCCTCATCCTCTGTAATACCCGCTCTTAGACTTCACCTGTATGTTCTGGCCAATGCAGTCCCTGAGCCAATCCTGCCTGCCAGCAGTCTCAGCCCCATCATTCTGTGGAAGTTACTCCCAAGACAGGTATCCCGTGACCCCCCTGAGCACAGTCCCCATCCTGTCCTGCCGTATTGTATCTGTTGCCCCAACCTTCTACTCAGGTTTTTGACTCAATTTCCCTGACTCCAGAAATGGATCTACCATGCTAGGCAGGGATTCTGAGGTTCTTTTTAGCTCTTGCAAGCTTAGTTCCTGGATAATCGATCAGGGCACAATCCAACATCCGAATTTCACACTATCATACCTATGACATCCTGCGCCACATAATGACATTTCGGTTAATGACAGACCACATATATATGATGGTGATCCCATAAGATTATAAGGCTGTATGTTTACCATTCTTTTTCTATGTTTAGATATACTTAGATACACAAAAACTTACCATTCTGTAACAATTGCCTACAGTATTCAGTTCTGTAACCGCTGTATAGGTTTGTAGTCTGGGAGCAATGGGCTATATCATATAGCCTAGGTGTGTGGTAGGCTATACGGTCTAGGTTTGTATAAGTACACTCCACAATGTTTGCACAACAATGAAATCTCCTGACACATTTCTCAGAACTTACCCCTATCATTAAGTGACACTTTTGACAGTATTCTGCTCAATGAAGTATCTCAAAGAGAATATATCTATATTACCACTCAGCTCAAGAGATTAACCAACAATAGCAGCCCAGAAACTTGTGCCTCCACCCAATATCTACCTACTCCTTCCCGACAGAAACCATTCTTCCAGCTTCTCAGATTAATTTCACCTACCTTTGAACTTTATATCAATAGGATCATACAACATGCATTTTTTGAGTGTGTGTCTGGCTTCGTTCATTTCACATTGTTGCAGGATTCATCCTTGTTGTTACATGTACTTTTACATAATTTATTTTCATTTCATCTCATTCATTTTCATTTATGTTATATTGAATGAAATACCGTAACTCATTTATTCATTCTACTATTGATGGACATTTGAGTTGTTTCCAGGTTTTGGCAAACTTCGGGTTTTGCTGAGACAGATCAAGACTCAATGGCAGGGAAGCCCTGCAAATCCCATAACCACCGTGTGCTGCCTGCTGTATCTCCTAGTAAACTAAATTAAATTCAAGTGCCCTTTTTTTGTCCTAAAAAAACAAAAAGTCTCATTTCTTGCAAACAAATTTTGAATACGTTCATTCATTGTTTTCAGTATTAGGCATTGTGTTAGGTGCTTCCTTCTGGGTCCTCGGCCCCCTGGGTTTCCTTACCTGCCTTGTCCTACCTGGGCTAGATGGCCTGAGGCTAACATAACAGGGAGCAAACCCCACATCACGTACCATTTAATTTCCAGGAGTTGGGCTTTTTTTATTTTTTGAGACAGGGTCTTGTTCTGTTGCCCAGGCTGGAGTGCAGTGGCATGGTCACTGCTCACTGCAGCCTGGACCTCCCTGGGCTCAGGTGATTCTTCCACCTCAGCCTCCTGAGTAGTTGGGACTACAGGCACATGCCAACCAACACCCAGCTAATTTTTGTACATTCTATAGTGACGGGATTTGCCGTGTTGCCCAGGCTTGTCTCAAACTCCCGAGCTCAAGCAATTTAGCTGCCTTGGCCCCCCAAAGTGCTGGGATTACAGGCATGAGCCATTGTGCCCGGCAAGAAGTTGAGGTCTTCTATCCAAGTGTTAGTATAGAATGCCA